AAGTGAACGGAGAAGTTCATGGAGGTAGGCCTAGGCCCACTGGGGCTGTAGTGCCAAGGGAAAAAAAAATATATATATATATAATTTTAGAACAGATTAAACGAGGTTGGTTTCACTCCCACCTCACAAATTTGTGTCTGCCATTATTAGCAATTGTAAAGGTGAGGGTGGTCGGTCACATTAACCGAGCTGTCTAAGGCATGTATTGTCTTCGCTCGCTTGGAAACCGGGATTCGTGGGTTCGAATCCCACTCAGGGCAGTTTGTGTTTTTCTGTGTTTGTGTATAGGTAGAGGCCTTGCGACAAGCTGATCACCTGCCCAAGGAATCCTACCGAATGTGTAAGATCTAGAATAGAAAAACCGAAGTGAACGGAGAAGTTCATGGAGGTAGGCCTAGGCGCATTTGGGCTGTAGTGCCAAGGGAAAAAAAATAGGTAAAGGGATCCCTGTAATTATTGCATTAAGCACTATGCCATGAAGACATTACCGACTGTTGTAAATTAAAAACTATGACGCTGGAGACACCTCCTCTATTGGCGTAACGGGCATAACATCCCTATCAAATTTCGTGAAAATCGATCCGTGGTTCAAGACTTACAACGGGTGAGAATACATACATACCAACATAGACAGCACCGTGACTTGATGCGACTGCTTTGTGCTTAAGGATAAAGAACGTTCACCACAGAAATTTCTACTTTTAATAACCATACAAAGTGATTGACTAAACTATGGACAGCCACAAAATTATAAACCTACCAATGGGTTTCCCGAACTTCTCAGCCCAAGCCAGAGCGAAGTCACAGTCAACAAACAACAGTGCCAGTACATAAAAAAGCAGAAAAACAACCCCACTAAGCACTAGAAATACAAAAATATCCATATTGAGTGAATATCTAGACGATCTAGACTGTAGTAACGTCACGTGTTAAAATCCGAGGCGTATTGAACATTGAAGGCCACAGATGTTCTGACCCTTCTGAACCTCTGAACCATCTGACCGGTTCTGACATCACGTCTGAACGCAGTGGGCAAAAGTGACTCATGTGCCTTTGATATAAAGTATGTCTCAAGACGCTCAAGACCCTCAAGACTCGGTAGTTCTTATGTGACCTAAGTTTTTATTAGGCTGCGCCATAGCTCGAGCGGTTAGTCGCTGGGGTCGCTGGCGTCGCTGGCTTCCCACCGCGGCGGCCCGGGTGCGATCCCGGGTCTGGTCAAGTGGGATTTGTGATGGACAAAGTAGCGCTGGGGCGGTTTTTCTCCGAGTACTTCGGTTTCCCCTGCCAATCTTCGATCCACCAAATTCTCCATCATCATAATCAGCCGGGGCAGGTACAATAGGCCAATCAGTGGCCGCCGTGCTGAGTGGACCCAGCTGGACTCCACCCCCCACTAAGCGAAAAAATACCAAGTTTTTACTAACAGCGATAACCTCTTAAGTTCAAGTCTTCAGAAATATTTAATTAAACAGGACTAACAGCCGTGTCAAGAATTTATACTGTACGATATGCAAAATACCATCAAAGTTGGGAGGAAACTATATCTCTGTTCACCACGCTAAGCACCACAGATTCATGTACATCATATATAATTTATACGGTATAAACCGTTCTTTCTTCGTTGGTTTGTATGTTTGTTTACGGATAAGCCTGTAATTGCAACGATCGCAACGGATCGGAAGTCAAAAGATCTCAATCGATCTCGAGAGCATTAATCGACCATTAACTAAAGTGAAATGTTGGTATTAAACGTTTGAAACGGTTTCAAAATGCTCAGTTTCACTCAGTTTTGATGGGGAACGTTGAAGAATCCAGCATACCTTATTATTCAATCGTCGATTACCGTGCCAACAAACTTTAGCTCACGCGTTACCACCAATTCAGTTATACTGACCATACTGACTGAACATCGTCAAAGCACATAGTACATTACTAATTTGACAACAGTTACCGCGAATCCCTGGAAGCGAAGTGAGATGTGAATGTTATAGCGTGAAGTGTGTACGAGAAGGTACGAGTGGATACCGTTCTGGATATGTTGAACTAGTAGTAGTAGTAGTAGGCTTTATTTCCATAAATCCAATACTAGAAATACATTCAGAGGATGTGGAAAAGTCAAACAAAACACACAAATAAAAACAGTACAAGGTACCAAGTCAATATACAGATATGTTAAATAATACTACTGAGATCATAAAAACATAACGAGTATCAATTCAACCCTTCCTATCAAAAATACTCAAAATACACTTCCAAATATATAAAAGAAACAATAAAATACAGCACAATGCTAATCATACAGATATAATAAAATAATACAACTAAAACCCAAGAAAATAACCAGCATTAAGTTTACTCTTCCTATTAAAATTCACAAAATACTCTTCCAATACATAAAATGAGTAACAAGACTAGAATTCTTCAGATTCAATTTAAAACTGTTAACACCTTTGTACAAATTATATGAATATGACCATATCAGATTAATACTACATCTTAAATATACTCAGAATTCTCTTCCAAAGTATAATAAATAAAGTACAAATAATTAAATAAATAAATAAACAGTACAAAAGTACTAAGTCAAAGTACAAATATAAATAAATAATACAACTAAAACTCATGAGTATGATCAGTGTAAAAATTACCCTAATTAAAATACACAACATACTCTTCCAAGGTATAAAATGAGTGATTATACAAAAATTCCTTTATCTTTAATTTAAATTGTTTGACATCTCTGTATAATTGTTTCAGGTTTAATGGAAGACTATTGAATAATTTAATGCCCATATAATACGAGCCTCTCTGGTATAATGATAAATGAGTTGAAGGTTGATAAAGATTAAGGTTAAAACCCTGTCTAGTGTCTCTGTTATGTACATCAGATACAAATTGATATTGATCCATGTTAAGTACCACAAAGCATAAAAGTGAATAAATGTATAAGGATGATAGAGGAAGAACTAGGTTTATTTGGAGGATGTGTTCGCACGAAGCAGTCTTGCAGGAAATTGCTTAGGTGGTGTCAGTTTGAATAGCTTGCATGACGTTAGGTTAAGGATGCGTTTGGAGAAGCATCCTCGAAGGAGATAACACGTGAAGGTATTGTATTAAGTTAATGTTACTTTAAGGATGTGTGCACACCAACAACCCAGAAGGGGAATTGTATACAGTTGTTACTGCCTTATTAGTGTAAGCTAGGATATGTTGGCATATATTAAGGATCTGTACGCATCAGCAGCCTGACAGGAGTTGGAGGTGATGAAGGTATCGATTCCTAAGCTTCTGTTTAAGTTAGGTCGCAGAGAGAAGTAGGAGATGGAAGATCGTCATTATGACTGTTTGACAAGTAATTCATCATCATTGTGCCATTAATGCATAATTTATTTTGTTTTTAAATTATAAACAGTTTTCCTTGAATCTCAATTTGTTCTGTTCTCAAGATTTTTGGCTAGTAATTCATCGTCGTCATTGTTGTCATTAATGCATAATTTATTTTGTTTTAAATTATAAACGGTTGTCCTTGAATCTCCATTTGTTCTGCTCTCAGGATTCTATTGATACCACTGGGAACCTAAAATTGATTAATACAAATCAAATTTTAACATTGACCCACATCAGCCAGCTGTTTATATTTTTTGACCCCTTATGTTATAGTAGCTATCAGAGCTGGTAATTACTGGTGAATTGGAGCAAATTTGATTGGTGCTTTATATTTCTCCCATAAGCTGTTGGATAAGGAAATATCATGGGAGCATGCTGGTACATCTCGATAATGAATTTCGGGATAATAAGATTCAGGTGTTAGGTATAGTTATCGCGTGTAACCCACACCTCACTACCTACAACTCTAATACAGAATTGAAGATTAGTTAATGGTTTCTCTCCCTGGCACAATCTGTTCGTCCCATAACGCAGTTGGTCAGCATATCATGGAGACATGTATGTTACTGCAGGATGAAGTGACTGGCATTAATAGTGCTAACATGAATTCGTTAGGTACAATAGAAGAAACTGCAGACAGCTAACATAAAGTAGCCGTGTTTTTGTCCTACTTGGCAATAAGTGTATATTATTTTGCATTTTTAGTGTTAAGTATTGAGAGATATATAGATGTATATTTTGATGACGATTATGTACCGTGGATTCAGGAGGATGTGGTGGTAGTGTATTTGAAGATACTGCCCCTGTATGTGTCAGAAATGAGGACTGGAAATCGTTAAACCCACCTCCAGGATAGCTGAGGTTCCATCCAGTATTCAAACTGGCAAAAATATATATGATATTGAATATTATTTGGATATTTTGCTATATGTCCCTTTAGTGTACAGTGAATTTCTCTGAGAACTATAGAGCATATAGGTTGTTAGTGCAATATCTCAACTACTCACAGAAAACTGTATCTCTATTACAAAGGCCAATCAGTTAATGCTAGGTAGGGAAACAACTGTTTATTGGGTGAATCATTAGTTATGAATTCAAAGATTATGTTAATGATGCTGCTATGTAAAGAAGTCTTAATTCATTTCTCATAGCTGTGGGCACTTCCCAATAATTGGAAACCCATACAGAACTTAACACAAATTTGGAAATGTATTATTTTTTAGTTATTGGTTATAAAATTCAAATGCTTTTACAAGAATTCTATTTCATGACAAACAATGATACATGTGACTCACAAGGCTGTTCAGCTGTGGTGGAAGCATAATGCACATAGTCAACTCATGTATTTCTAAGTGAATACAGGATCCCCTGATACCCTGCCTAAGTACAGAACACTACCACATTACAGAAGGGACATATTCTTGAAAATGTGTCAATATTGCAAAATTCCCTATTTTTTCCTTTGACTCTCATATAAATAGAGATGCTCTCCTCACAAAATTCCTTCTGTCCACAGCTGTATTACAGAAACACCCATCTAACCATTAGAAATTTACGACTGCGCCGTAGCTCAAGCGGTTAGTCGCTGGCTTCCCACCGCGGCTGCCCGGGTCTGGTCAAGTGGGATTTGTGGTGGACAAAGTGGCGCTGGGGTAGGTTTTCTCTGAGTACTTTGGTTCCCCTGCCAATCTTCATTCCACCAAATTCTCTATCATCATAATCACCCAGGGCAGGTACAGTGGGCCAATCAGTGGGCGCCATGCCAAATGGACCCAACTGGACTCCACCCCCCACTATGCGAACCATTAGAAATGATACATAAAAGGTATAAAACTGGGTTTACTGTTCCAGGCTTCTTAAATAAATGCAGTACAAGGCACAGTAAAAAATAAAGTAGGAATAGCAACCATGCATCCATTCACTTGCTTATGTCACTGACACATATGCACAGACTAGACAATGGCCAGTTATGTATCCTGCTGTAGCCCACCTCTACAAACCACAGTACATCAGAGTTTGTGGAGGCTACCTTACAGAAGGAAAACCAGTGTTAAATACTGTCATGTGTTTGTGGTTGTGACCAATAGTGTGGCAGTATAACTTCTTCTGCAGGCTGCAATCCAATAATCCATTCCCACTTCTGACACCAGTTGCCACATGTTTATGGCTCTGTGACTAATAATAATGGATTTTGGATTAAATGATTGAATTTATTAACACCTTTTACCATCTCTCTGTTAATCATAATCAATTACAGTAACTCACAGTCAATCTTCAGCCAAACTCTTCCTCATTGACTGCCGAGGACTTGCTCCATTCTTGTTCTTGTTGTATGATTGACTTGATTCTGTTCTGTACCACTTATATAGCCTCGAGATGGACTTGCAGAAACCACATCCATTGCCTAACAATATGTGAACCATGCAGAAAACACCTCTTCCTCTGTTGTATTTAGAGCATGTTGCATAGCAACGGAAGTTATCTGATTGTTACCTGCATATTCATTGTCACAGGAATGTGTTTACCAAGTCATTGCCCAGCAATGGGCATACATGTTACAATACATTCAAATTTCCCACCGGCTTATGAATACTGTCAGTATGTTGAATATAAAGGAGGTTACTTTCCTGTAATGATGGCAATGACCATCATCACTAACTGATTATGACAGACATTCTTTCCCATAGTAGATGAAGTATACATCACCAATACATGTGCATATTTGATCTGTGTTTTTAACAGGTAATAATTTCACATAAACAAATCAGTTTTAGCTGTATGTATTATTGTGCATGTTGTGTTTAAAAAATTATAATATTTATTCCAAATTTCTATAAGGGTGAAATTCATAAGCCAGATATCTATAAGACAGGGCTACACCCTTAGCAGTGTAAGTAGTTCATGAATGAATGCAGAGAAGTGCACAGTGGAATTGGAATTACAGGCACAGAATTCAAATGCATCATACATGAATACAAAAAGAAATCTAGAAGAATCCCACAGAAAGTATAAGGTTCTACACTGAAACTGCTTAATGGCACAGCTACTTGGTACCTTGAATTTGTTGAACCCTGTATATAAACAGTCTTGTTCATAATGCAACATGATGCCCAAAAGCCAGAATAGTGAAGTCAGAATATACGTTCATTACTAGGCAATGATTCGGTAAACATATTCCCATGGCAACAAATATGCATGCAACAGTCAAATAACTTCCATTGCTATGCAGCGGTGCTGTAAACACAACTTCCCAAGAGTAGAGATGCTGTTTTCTGCATGATCTGTGCAAAGTGGTTATAAACAAGATTTTAGTTGACAGTTGAGTCAAGTTTCGAGATGCCAGCTTGCTGGGATATGAGCTTGGGACCAGAGAATTGGATTGAGAGTTCTGGAGTTGGCATTTGGCAGATGATGGAGAAATTAAGAGAGTTCAGCTGAGAGTTAAAAGTCCGACAGTCTTAGTGTTTGAGACTGATATACTTCCTGTGTTAAAATCCATTACCAGGAAATCAGTGGAAAGTGTAACAGACTGAGGACACTAGTGTTTGCGGAGTGAACTGTAAAGTGTGTATATCACCGATAACACCGTAATTGCCTGTAGTTCTGAGTGGTGTGTATAAGGTGTCAATAAATCAATCTCAAGACAAATGACCATTGTTTCTGCTGAATTTCTTTGAAAATCCTTTGCCTGAAATATGGATGTACTTTGTTCACAGTCAGGCTTAATCATTCCATGAAGCAGTGAAAAAGGTAGAGGGATAGAGAGTCACTGTATTTGAAATAACTGACAGCATTAATGGGTTGAAAACTACCACGATGTTCAAACTTGAAGACTTTGTACTGCTTTTAGCTGTTAGAGCAATCCTTGGAAAACTGGAAACAGGGAGAACTACCTCAAGAAGAGGTACAGAAGTTTCATTTCACTGCACTCTCATTCTATGAAACTGCTCTTGAGTTACTTGAAGAAATGGACTGAAAAAAGCTTTCAGGACCTGGAATTCTATAGCTGGGTAACCTTGAACAAAACACTTTCAAGGACAGACATTAAGAGAACTTCATCTCTTGTGATTAAAACTGTACTATCTGTTCAGTCAGCTGAAACTGAAATGTATGATGAATTTGCCTATATGAAGCAGTTTGCAACCTGGGAAAAAGTTTCTGAGTGAACTGCTAATAAATCTTTGCCAGCTCAAAGAAGGGTGGAAATGATCTCTCACTTCAACAAAAATCATGTTCCTTTCTCAAGTACGAGTATACATAAGTTAGCAGAGTTCCTTTTCTGCCTTCCTGGTGTGGACACTCTGAAGGCAATGTCAGCAACTAAGGTACTCTTGTGTTGAGTTTTTTAAAATGCTTCTGACAAAGAAGGACCGTAAGAAAATTTACAACTCTGAAAACTACAGCAGATTTGCTTCCTCTTACTTTTAAGTAAGGATGACAACAGGTTATCTTAGCAGTAGTTTCCACTTTTACTGTATATAATATGCTTTCATCATAGTTAAACTATTTTTCATATGTATATAAATTCAACATTTTTCAGTGGCTTGTTTTAGCCCCCCCCCCCCTCAACATTTATGGGGTGTCCCAAATTTGAGGCTGGAATATGTGGTCACCTTAACAGTGTACTTCATAGATTCTTTCCATCAGCAATACCAACATTGAAGCCTCTCAAATTGTTGAGGGAATGACCTTAATATTACTTGAATGCCTGAATCGATGGTCATAAAACGTCATATAGTTCATGTTATTGTTTTATTGACTTATATATACATAATAAAGTTTTGCCCACTTGTCACATCAGACATTTAATTTGCAGTGAAAGGGAAGCAGTGGTTCATTCTTTCCAGAACTTCTTGTTCATTAATATTTTCTCTTTTAATAAATATAACATCAACAAAAAACATAATAATGGTAGCAGTAGCATACAAATTGCAATTTTCACAGTTTACATTACAATCTAACCTTTTTTTAGAATAAGAAAGTGTACACTACTTGCTTTGGTACAAGAATATACATAATAGACTGCATTCCCCTAGTCATACTGGAAGAATATGGTCAGTCATCATGATCCATGGCATTTCTATCAGGGTGGGTTGTATTTATGGCAAGGCTATCTTCCCATAAGGATTCCTATTATATCTATGTGTATGTTCACTCTTTTCCTACTCTATTCTCTCCTTTGGTTTCTCGTTGGTCTACCAGAGGGTAATATATTTATCATTTTTAGGCTCCCAAGATGAATCTCGTTGTGATGTTATACTGTAAAGCATTATAAATGTTTTGATATAAAAATATCATTATAATAAAAGCTTACTTACTTATGGAGCTGAGCCCTTCTTGAGGAGAAGCCAAGTCTGCAGCTACTCAAGAATTTCCCAGCATTTTATGGAACCTGAAGGTTCATTACCGTGTTTACAAGAGCCCTCCACTGGTCCCTATCCTGAGCCAGATGAATCCAATCGATACCATCCCATCCTATCTCTTTAGATCAATTTTAATATTGTTCACCCACCTACACCTTGATCTTCCCAGTGGTCTCTTTCCTTCTGGCTTTCCCACCAATATTTTATATGCATTTCTTTTCTCCCCCATTCATGCTACATTCCCTGCCCACCTCATCCTCCTTGACTTGATAATTCTAATTAAATTTGGAGAAGAGTACAAGTTATGAAGCTCCTCATTATGCAGTTTTCTCCAACCTCCTGTCACTTCATCCCTCTTTGGCCCAAATATTCTCAACACCCTGTTCTCAAACACCCTCAGTCTATGTTCCTCCCTTAATTTCAGAGACCAAATTTCACACCCATACAGAACCACAGGCAAAATTATAGTTTTGTATATTCTAATTCTTATGTTTTTGGACAACAGACAGGAAGACAAAAGATTCTGGACTGAATGGTAGCAAGCATTACCTGAGTTCAGTCACTTCTTAATTTCCTCCTGAATTAGGTTTTGATTTGTTATCATCGTTTCCAAATATCTGAACTGTGCCACATTTTCAAAACATCTGTTTTCTATCGTTATGTCATGATTTTGCCCTGCATTTTGGTGACGAGAGAGCAACATAACTTAGTGTTCTCTGCGTTTACTTCTAAACCAACCTCCTTACTTGTGTCAGTTAAAGTTTGTGTTTTTTTCTTTATGGTATCACCCAGTAGAATCACATCATCGGCATAGACCAACAGCTGATGTGTCCCATTTAATTTTGGTCCCACCTGGTTTTCCTGGACATCCCTAATAACATATTCTAAAGCAAAGATAAAAATAATAAAACATAGTGTGACGTATTTGCGCTATGCAGGACACCCCCTCCCCTGCCAGTGGTGACGTAACACCTTCAGAGCTTTGCCACTGCTACGGTAATAGGCCAGTCAACACACCACCCCCTCCCACGGTGACGTTACCAAGGGATGCCGCACTTGCTACAGAGCAGTAAACAACTCTCGACAGTGTTGACAGGCAACCTGTAAACACAGTATCAGGCAACAACGGTACCTATCACGTAACTGTTTTCTGTGTTGTCCGTGCCAAGGCTAAATAAGGAGCAGCGAACACTAGTTAGTTAGTAGTGAGTGAATAATAGTGAGTAGTGAGTATTGAGCGTGTTACTAGAGAAAGAGTAACCAGTCAATTGCACTCGAGTATTTGTGATACTGCCAATGGCATTAATGTTGAGATTGTAAATTGTGTGATTGTAAGAGCGAGTGGAATAAATTCGCTGTATCAAATAAGGCATGAAGTTACTTGTCGTGTGTTATACACCCAACTCGTGACAATTTTGTGTCAGAAGTGGGAAGAAGAGAACGGAAGGAAATGATGATGATGATGATGGCCTACCGAGAAACAACAGAGGCGTGTCTAGAAGAGGAAAAGCCAGCCTCAGTTGACACCTGCGGCGGCAGCGAGAGAAGAGGTCCCCATAGTAATACTGGTCGGAGTGACGATGGGCTGCTGAGAAATGGAGGCATGTCCAGAAGAAGAAGAAGAAGAAGAAGAAGAGCCGGCCTCAGTGGACAGGAAACCTAAGGCGGTAGAACAACAAGAGGTACCTGTAGAAGTTGCCGCAGTATTGCCGGTCAGAGAACCGAAGAAGAAAAGGTGTAGGGACAAAAATCAGCGAAATATGAAGAATTTGACAGCAGAAAATTGTAGACCCCAGAAGTTGGCCGTAGCCCGCAGAGGGATGAGCCGCCATGTGGAAGTAGCACAATTGATTAAACCATAATTTCTCCTGCTGTTAATAATGCAGGATATTTTTGTCAAATTTCAGGTTCTCATGGCTGTGACTGAAGGGGTGTGATGACCTGTGGTTTGCTAGAATGGTACTAACATTTCAGAGGAACCTGCTCACTCTGCCTTCTTGGTAGGAGGAGGACCTGAAGATAGAAAGTTCCTCAAAAATGCAGGTAGCTATCCACTACAAGGTACAATATCCCAAAAGACAGTTACTTTCACATTTTTTATCATCCTGTATGTTGTTTCAGTCATAATGGCATCATACCATTAACGTAGTTAACTTTTGCTTGTTACATTATATCCTATATGTGAAATCCAGTCTTCATTCATCATTGTAATAATCTTGTAGGTTGACTAGTATCTTATGTGGTAATCATTTTAATCAGACTTTATCTCCATTCTGACTTTGGTGTCACGCATCTTGACGAAGAACTTGGGTCCCAAGAAGCGAGTTACTCTGAAAAGAACAAGTTTCTAAATATATGTACTGTAAAAGCTTAACAGGTATGTTCAGCGCAAGTAATTAAAAAATAACATGATTAAATATTTATTGCAAAAATATCAAATATTTTAAATATTTATTCAGGTAAGCCAAAAGAAATATATTTATATACATGCACAGCTATAAATTCAGATGGGAGGAAGCTTCATTTAATTATTATGGAGGATAAGTGACTTCGGTAATTTCTGCATGTGTTCGGAAAATGACTGTTTGATTGTTGAACAATTTCCAGGAGTGTATGGAAAGCCCATTGTTGAGTGCTGAATATACAAGTTTGGAAGTGTATACACATTGTATAACAATCTTACTTATTTTTTAAACTGCGAGACTTACAGAAAAAGTGTACAAGGCATAAAATGTTTACTTCTTCCTTGCAACTTCTGTTGAAAGCATTTTCTGCTCTGATAAAGATCTGGAAAGTTGTTGTTGTTATGTTGTTGTTATTGGAGGGGGTGGGTTTCCCCATGCACCACGACCAGTTTGATCTATTATGCGTCCCCCTATTATCTTCTACCAGCCTCTATACCCTACCAGTGCTGGTGCTTACCATCAGTCCCTACTCAGCCAGCAAGGTCGGCCTCTACTGGCTCAAAGGTATCTCGATGCTTCCCCCATCTACCAGAGGCGTTAGAGACTACTGTTGGGCGGGAAATGTCCTTAATTTAGCTCAGTGGCCTCCTTTGGAGACATGAGGTTCTTTTACTTGCCGTAAAGCTACGATATGGGACCCATGGCTTAAAGTCCCTCCCGGAGGACTTGTTCCCTGAATTTGTCTGCCCTTAAAAATTCCACGACCTCCGCCGGGTTTGAACCCGCGTACCTTGAGTCATGAGGTGGGAACGTTACCCCTAGACTACGGAGGCTGCTCCTATCTAGCAAGTTACACTTGAGACAGGAACAGAACACTTATGTCTTTATGTACAATATCCATTATTTTTGTCTGATTATAACAAAATGCTGAATGTGTTAAAGCCTGAATGACAAAACCCACTACAGAGACCTAAAAGTAGATGGGATGATAGTATTAAAATGGAACTCGATGAAATAGCATGTGAGGGGTCTGGACTGGGTTTCTTTGGCTCAGAATACAGACCAATTGCAGGCTCTTCTGAACACAGTAATGAGCATCTGGGTTCCATGAAAGGCTGGGAATGTCTTGAGTGGGTGAGCAACTCTTAGCTTCTCAATGAGGACTCGGCTCAGTGCCGTTTGTTAATTTGGAAATTTTCAAACTCGTCAGATATCAAATTTCATAAAAATTGATTTACCAGTTCTTTAATTGTTTCGTGTGTGTGTGTATATATATGGATGGACAGACAAACTGCACAAATTTAACTGGCATTATGCAGCATTTCTGAAACCAATATCTGGATTTTTACATCAACATGGCGACAGAACATAATGAGAGACAGTTATGTAACACATATTTATAAAGGTAAGTTGTTTTATACTTACAGTGATGCAACATTAGGGTAGCAGATGAGAAAATGAACCATAAAAATTATAGGTGGTAGTGCCATCCAAGCTTCATCCAGTTTGTTTGCAATTGCTACTGCACACAGGTGTCCACACCGTTCTGTCGACATACGTCGATCAGTTATCTCCATTGGCTTGCCAAATTTCTGAAGAATTGAAAAAACTGTCTCGGTTAAAACATCAACTACACAGCTGTAGTGTGTGTAAAATGTAACATTTGAGACATGTTTAGACACTTCATGTATGAATTTAATGAAGAGAATAGCCATGGCTTTGCTCCGATGGCAACCCTAGTGTGTTCTTGTCAGTAGAGTAGTAGACAGAAAATGCATAGTCTTTGTGAAAAGTTTCCATTATTTCTGTTCAGTTTTAACCAAAACAATTTTCTTCAAAGAACTTCTCAAAATAAACTATCCCCAAAACCTTTCGCATGGGTGCTGGGGGTTTTTTTCCCCCTTGGACAGCCAGACAGTCATGACAAAGTTATTTTGCTTTTTGCAGTTCTTGGGAATGTGCCTAAAAACTGGTAAATTGTTTGTGGTATTAAAAGAGTGCCCCATGATTACACTGCTCCTCACAAATTTATTTTATTGCAAGAACTACTTCCAGTGGGATCCACATAGTTATCCTCTCGACCATGATGTCTGGTAACAAGCCTTTCAGATTGTAGGACAGATAAAAGTACAAGGATGTACAATCAGTATGCTGTGTGGGCATATGGGTTGTTATACAACACAGTAACTAGACTACATAGCATCAAATGGTATAAGAGGTAGATGATGACTTGAAAAGGTTTCAAAAGGAAGCAGTTCTGGCTTAACCGAGATACCTTCCTGGTATTTGCCTGAGGTGATAGAAGAAGACTATGAAAAACCTGTCAGGTTAATCAGTGTCCCAGTCAAGATTCAAACCGAACACTCTCAACTCACCTGTCAACAGTAAGTGAAGAGCTTTACTGCTGCGCCAACTTATTCGATGTCAATATGGTGATGCATATACTCACCTCCTTAGGTCTGCCTGTGAAGCTGTCTGCCAGAATGTTGCTGAATACTGGCCCAGGACACAGCAGTGTCACAGTTATGTTGTGCATCATCTTCTCTAAACGCAAGGCATCAAAGTAGCCCTAGATCAGCATACAGAGAACAAAGAATATCTTGTGCTGCATATGTAATTGATGAAGTACTGAATTTGTTTTATCAGTCTCTGTATGTTTCAATGCAAACTTATTAAGTGGAAACAAGTTAGTAGAATAACACATATATTTTTCATTCCCATTTTTGTTAAAGAAATGGGCCCTGCTTCCATCAACAGATATAAGTATGAAACCTATTCTGTTGGGTTCCTCAGATGGAGCTAATTTCTGTCCTCTCAGAATAAGTCAGCTGAGTGGAGGAAGCTGCCACATAATGTATGATAGGATGTGTTGAGTAAACCTTCTTCAGGGCATTGGTTCCAATTGGCTTGTTCACAATTCCAAACCAAATCCTCTATTCCCTATATTGTGTAACATCTTTCTCCCCTCAGCAAACTTCTGTCCTGAAGATGGCAGCAGAAGGTTTTCCCAAAATGTTGGTATCTATCTATCATATTACATGGCACTACATCCTGAAGACCATCAACACAATGAAAATTGCTAGGACGTGATGCCGTGTAGTCCAGCAGAAGTTCACCAACGTTTTGAAGAAATATACCGAAGATGGACCCAACATATTCCTCCAAAACAGTGATTAACTTCTACTGGATTACAGAGCATCATATCCCAGAAGACACTACGCTTCTTACTGACCACCATGAACACTTCAGAACCTCTTAATGTTCACTCACATGGATGGCATGTTTCGCACCGATATAGCTGGCTGAGTAGGGAGCTGCCATCACGCCAGCCAAACTTGATGTGACAACAATGTGACCTTCATTCTGTTTCATGAAATGTTGCACTGCAATGCGAGACAGGGACAGGACACTGAACACATTGAGGTTGAACATCTCCTTGTCAACAGCAAGTTCAATCTCTTCCCAGATAGCTCTCTGTGACCGGCCAGCATTGTTTACCAATACATCCAGCTATAACATAAAACATTCCCACATACATACATGCCATGGTGCCAGTCAGTTTACAGATGGAATAATCTTATTTTGTACTAGGTATTTCTCCATGTAGTTTTGTATATGTATGAAACTTGGTCTCTCGCGTTACAGGAAGAATACAAGACTGGTGGTATTGGACAACAAGGTTACTTCTCATTAATTATTATTAACATGATCAAACCAAGGAGGATAAGATCAGGAAGGCATGTATCATGCATGGGAGAGAGCAGTAGTGCATACAAAGTTTTGGCAGAAACAACTTAAGCAAAGAGACCACTAGGATAATATTAAAATGCATCTTAAAGAAATAGGATGGAAAAGTGTGGACTGGATTTACCTGACTCAGGATATGGACCGCTGGCAGGCCCTCATAAATATGGTAATGAACCTTCAGATTCCATAAAATGATAGGGATATCTTGAGTGAGCAGCTACCATCTTCTCAAGAATTTGGTTCCATGGGGTTAGTTGGTTATTTCTGTATCTTAAGTGTACTCTGTGTTAGTTTTGGTTCAGTGCTTATTTATGAATACATTTCCAAATGGTGAAACACCGTGTACTCTATGTAGAACTGAATACCAAAACAGCAGTACCTTTTGGTTAAAATGGAAATACATGAAAGAACTTAATCACAACCATAAAAGATAAAGATGTTATGAAATATATACACATGTATATGTGTAGCATACTAGTTACAGTGCATTTGTTTAAAGTATTTAGCAAGTTGCATACAAGTTACAACCATGATACACATACAAACATACACAGCTCTTCATATGAAGTGCCCATTATTGTGCATTTTTAACTGAAACTGGAACATGTTGATAAAAGTCCTGGTTATCCAGAACGGGAAAGAATATCAAAGAAAATTTATCATTTTTATAAAGTTACTTCAAACACAAAGTTGTGAGATGCATGTTCACCTGCCACACAGTAGTTCTCCCAGCCGCCACTAGCAGCATTGCCTGCTGTCCTCCCTCGTGCTGGAGCCATTACAGTAGAGGCTAGCTAAATTTTGATCNCAAGAAGACGAGGAAGAAGAAGACGTAAGAAGATGCTGGATGACCTTGGGGACAGAAGAGGATGCTGTTATTTGAAGGAGAAAGCTCTAGATCGCATTAAGTGGAGGAATTGTTTTGAAAGAGACTGTGGACCTGTCGTCTTGACAGATTACTGATGATGATGATGATGTTACAGCATACTGAAAATCTTTCACCCATCAGTATGCCATGTTTCCTATGAAGACCCCAATGCAAGAACTATGATCAAAATGTGTTTTGGCTTTTATTCTGGTTTCTAAGAGATTTTCTTGTGCAACTTGCAGATTTATGTAAGCAGCATACCCCACTGCTGATACATGGTGGATAACCAGCAGTTTTTCTGTGTTCGTAAAACTCCAAGATATCAGATTGTGTAGAAATTTTTTTCAGTGATTGTATAGTTGTTATGTACAGACAGAAATTGTGAAACTAACAACTGCATTTTTGCAACTTTCTGTTGAAAATGCACCAGAAACAACCTTCCTACACTTCTTATGGATCAAGTCTTTGGAACAGAAATCTTTCAAGTTATTAGTATAGCATTTTTTCATAATATAAAATTCACACTTTTTAAGACTTATATTTATGCTACACTAAAGTTAGTGTCTTCTAGGTTGTAACACTATGTAGCCTGGCAAACTCCAGTGTTTTGCAGTAATCTGCTGCTGCTCCACTTTCTAGAATAATCTTCATATTTGTCACCATAAGAACCTCAAATTTCGCTTATGCTATATTATTTATTGTTAACAGATTTTAGTATAATTTTTTTCTTTGTCAAGCAACGATTTTAATAATTTCTGTGAACACATATCAGGATCAGTAACATGAAAACCTCCAGTCAATGTAGCCAATCTCCAGGTCACAGTTTATACTGCAGCATCCTGTTGCCTTACATATTGTCAATCAGCACTCACACTTTTCACCGTCTCTGTGCAACTTTGTCAATATATTAAAATTCACATTTCACAAGCAGTTGTCTCTTCCTGTTATTGAAATACTATGTGTTTTGGCCGAACTGGCCATCATGAGGTATACAACTTGTAGATAATTTTAAAGTAAAATATTTTACACCTTAAAATGCAAAGTGTAGGAGGATGACAAAAGGGTAGCAGTGTCCTCTACAACTTGTACACCTAATGATGGCAGCCAGTTGGGCCAAAACAAGTTAGTGTTTGAGTAACAGGAACAGATAAGCAGCCTCCGTAGTCTAGGGGTAACGTTCCCACCTCATGACTCAAGGTACGCGGGTTCAAACCCGGCGGAGGTCGAGGAATTTTTAAGGGCGGAAAAATTCAGGGAACAAGTCCTCCAGGAGGGACTTTAAGCCGTGGGTCCCATGTCGTAGATTTACGGCACGTAAAAGATCCTCATGTCTCTAGGAGACCTCTGAGCAAAATTAGACAACAATTTTCCGCCCAAGTAGTTTCCAATGCCTCTGGTAGATGGGGGAAATATCGGGTACCGACGGCCGACCTCGTTGGCTGAACGGGGCTGATAGCATGCACCAGTACCGGTAGGGTATGGCGACAGCAGAAATTAAAGGGGGACGCACAGTGGACCAATAACTGGTCTAAGTGCATGGGGAAACCCACCCCCTCTAATAATAATAATAATCATAATCATAACAGGAAGAGCTAAATGCTTTTGAAGTGTGAATTTTAATACATCGACGAAGTTGGACACAGACGGTGAGAATTATGCATGCTAATTCATGTCATGGTTTTGAACCTGGAACTTCTTGAATATGAAGCAGAATACTACCCACTCAACAGAAAAATAAATATTCAAATGTATGTAAATCAAATTATCAATTTCACTGTTGAAATGTGAGCTGAAACTGACTTACGTGACCGAAATGGTCAATGACTTGCTGAAAATATGCTTTATGCTTCTCCACTTCCAGTACATCCATTGGCAGCACCAGGATGTCTTTCTCTTTGAGGTTCTTGCCAACTTCTAAAACATTAGTTAGACTTATTTCATTACAAGTGCCTTAATTTGTGCAACCGATTTTAACCCAGCCCATTTCACATATAATTATGTAAGGAACTGTATGCTGCCATAGGTTTTAGAGTTTGGAGTCCCAAATTTTGGTGGTAGAAAAAAGAAATGTTTTCCTGTATGTAACCACCATACTATATTTGATGCAAGGATAGTGGAGGAAAAGCTCCATGTATTTTTAATCTTGGCACACGATCAAGGGGAGTAAATATAAAGTTGTCATTGTACCTAATTCTGCACCATTCCATTAAACTATAATAATATAATTAAACTATATTTTAAACTTCAAAAGTGAATGGTTAGAATACTAATGAAGGCAAGACTAGGGATTCCTGCAGAAAATTCTTTAAAATATTAAATATATTACCTCTGGCCTCACAGTACATATTCTCCTTGGCTCTGTTTGTGATTGCAAATAAAACTTGGTTCAGACAAAATTCTGAGATTCATAGTTTCAATACTGGGAATAATTCCAATTTTTTCCCAACAAACGACTCATCTGAAAATGGTTCATAAAAGTCCTGCTTATGCAGGTGTCAAGATTTATAATCATCTTCCAGATAATATTAAAGTATTGGCATGTGACATTAAAAGTTTTAAGAGAGCGTTAAAAAAATATTTATATGAGCATTCTTTTTACACTGTTGATGAGTTTCTTAAGCATAAAACTAGTTAACCACCTAGACAGCATAAAATCGTTGTTATATTTTATGATCATTTATTATCTTTTTCTTGTTCTATTACTGCTAATTACAAACTGGTAGTATTTTATGCTCAAGTAGTTTTGTGGTTGTACCTCTTTTAATTAGCACACTTTTATAAAATGATTGAACTTTCCATGACTTGAGTGCGGTAATAGATGTGCTAATATGGTATTAAAATTTCATTTCATTTTATATAGTGGATAACTTTTTATGTACAAAGTTAGATAATTTGTAATTGTTTTATCTGTTTATTAATTCAAAATATTATCTATATGTATAATTTTTTAAAATTGTTACCTTGTAATATTTATATTTGCTTGTTAATCTTATATTTAATTTTGACAAAATCTTTTTATGACTGCATGTTTTTTGACTTCCTCTATATCCAACGGTTGTACCAACCTGGATTAACAGAAATGAAATGAATGAATGAAAAGAAAATGGGGGGAGTGGAGCTATAGCTCCATGCGTTCCTAATCTCTGCACTAAATGGAGGTGAATGGTCCGCTTCACACCCTGGCCACTTTATTCTTATGGAAACAGCCCCTGGTACCCATTCAGTGGGAGGCTGGTTGGCCTTAGAGCTTGTTTGGACATGGTGGTGAAGAGAGAAACGTCTTGCTCCTGTTGGGAGTTGGACCCTGATTCTCCAGTCATCCAGACTGAAGATAGGAATAGTGGTCACCTTTGTGTTTCAGTCACTCAAACCATAAATACTGAGTTGGTCTGGTAACGTTACATTGGAATCTTATATCTCAACCCAGATCAGCTGTTGGCGGTAAGATTACATTCCTTATTTCTCATAAACTGCATGATACTTTGGCATTATTCAGAATGGGAACTTTAATTCATAGTTGCAATACTCACTGAGACAGCTCTGCCTGACCCTCTCCAGTTCATATGCTCTTCGAGCTGACAGAACAAGTTTTACTCCTGCACGTGCCAATGCAAGAGATATGTGCTCTCCAATCCCACTAGAGGCTCCAGTGATCCACACAACTTTACCTGCCAGGCAATCTGTACATATAAAATACTTTATTGGGAAGGTCTCAAAAATCTGTTAAGTACAGCAAAGGATATTCATTTGGCCAGCTATACTGTGCACATGTGCCATTACAGCTCTCCTGCTTGCAGCAAATGTAAGTAAAAGTGCATGACAGGGTAAGAAGCTGTACCTGACCAGTTTCTTACCAGGAGAATTATCACAATGTCTGCATATGTATGCACACTAAGCAGCATTTATATATATTTACAGGTAATTAATTTTTCAAAACTTACCAGTGGGTTTTCCAAATTTTTCTGCCCATGCCAGCCGAAGGTCACAGTCAACAAACAGCAGAGCAATGACATACAAAATGGCATAAGCAACTGCAATCAGTGCCAGTGATGTGATGAAGTTCATGATGAACTGTAAAGAATAAAATACACTTTAGGTTACTCAGCAACATTTCTACCATTATATACTTCCAAATCACTTATCTTTTATTTGGATGGAGTCCTAAATTATTCTGTTGATGTGCTGAAAATACTGAACTGCAGTTTCCTTTATAAATTGTATATCTTTAAAAGTAAATACATATTAAGTTATTAATTAATAATTTTATATTATTTAATTAATAACCTTTATAGCATACTGCTTTGTCTTTCACTGGCAGTGCGATGTTTCAGTGGAAATTTTAGTGTCTCAAATTTGTGTTTAGACGACAGTCCTTTTGAGTTAATGAACCTTTGACTGTACTGTGTAACTCATGGGAAAGAATTTCCAGCAGCTGTCCAAACCAGTTACCACACACAACGTAATAACATTATGAGATCAGCCCCCCCCCAAAGTGAGAAAACAAGTAGGTCAAGAGGGATAGAAAAAATTGCCTCGATTTTTTAAGTTAACGACATTCTTCCGAAAGGTGGTAAACTTATAGGTTTCCATTTGCTTCCTTTGGATTGGGGTTGGGCAGTTACTTTCAATACTTGGTCTTTGACACTGAAGGCTCACTATTCTTCTGAAATGTCGAACCTACCAGTCTGCATAGCGTCACATCCCAGTGCGTAGTACTCTTCACAGACAACCATAAGCACCTCAAATTCAACGTATCAGCTTCCCACCACGGTGACCCAGGTTCAATCCTCCAAAATGTGTGGGGTTTGTTGTGGACAAACTGTCATAGGGGAGGCAAGTTTTTTTCTGAGTACTTTGGTTTTCCCTGCCAGTTCGCATTCTACCAACTGCTGCATATTCATTAATCGCCAAATCATCGACGCTATTTAGTCTCGATACTAAGAAAATAGTTAATAACAAACTTAAGAAAATGCAGCTTGAAAAATAAGAATCACGGTAACCAGTACCGCTACAGAGGTAAGAATCAGGTACTTACAAAGTACAATGTAGGTGTGGTTACTCTGTTTCACTTTCAGAGTATATTTTTGAGCAAAATCGTCAGATGCGAGCCTTATCACCGCCTCTTACGCAGCATAGGCACGCCCTGCTCTCTTATTGACTTTGCGCTATTTAAACTTTCTCTCGCTCTGTCTTGCTTGGTCTCTCTCTCATCTAGCATGCTATGTTGTCAGACTTCTCCCTTCTGTCCAGTGGGGAATTTATCGCGGAGATTTGTTCTTGCAGAAGCCGATTAGCACCCCCAGAAGCACATGCACTGTGTGGGCAAAATGGAGATTTTTTTTTATTATGAGGCGGAATCAATATTTCGACTAGCGTTGACTGGTACGGTGATAGATGAACGATGAATTGGACAGGATTTGGAAGGAAGTGGTTGTGGCTTACTCGAGATACTATCCTGGCATTTGCCAGGAGATACTGAGGGAACTCACGTGAAACAGCCTGGCGGTGTACCTGCCGAGATTCGAACCGAGCACCTCCGGCATACATGTCAAGAGCGTTGCAGCTATACCAACCAGCTCGATTGTGAACGTAAAAGCATGTACGTGTAATACCTCCATCTTGTGCCCAGGTGAAGAACGGTGGGGCTATACCTCCACTTCTCCATACGTCCTAATGGTGTAGTGTTTTTTTAATCGAAGGACAGCGTTACTTTTACATATAACTACCGTACTACAAAGGACAAAGTCCATCTGCTTTTCGAACCAGAGTATTTCTTAACCGGTCATAGCCTTGTGAGGGAAACGTTACGAAAGGTAAGTCCTCTACGTATGGATTTCCCAGCGGCATATGTATACCGACACGTGCAGGAAGTTTCTGATAATTACATAACCAATTACGTCACTGATGAAACGCACTCCCATTTATAGCAATCGATAGCAATAGTCTCATCAATAAATCCGAACGCAGCGGTCGAGTGGACAGTACTGCGGTCGTGATCGGGAAGCCCCGGGTTCACATCTCGACACCGAGACCGGCTATCCTGGCTGAGGTGTTTTATAGCTTTTCTTGCAATAGCCACTCCAGAAGAATGCCGGCATAGTAACAATAGTGTGCTTACTGCATAATTAAATAGATCACAAATGAAAGGTAAAAATGTCGCTGTGCTTGAGCTTGACACCATGAAGAAATGTGGGGGAGTGGAGATGTAGCTTCAAGCCCCAGCCGCTTTATCCCCGGAGAATGATCCTACGGTACCCATTGGATAGGAGGATGGGTGGTCCCCAGAACCGGTCTGAACGCTGCGGAGAAGAGTAAAATGTATTGTGTCTGCCGGCAGCCTGTTGCTACCCTGACTCATACAAATTAAACAGCTACGAAAGTAGAGGAACAAGGGATAGCCTTTGGCACATGGCTATGGAAGGAAGGTTGTTTAACGTGAACCTTTACGACCTTTACGACTGAAGCAAGATGCTTGTTCACGTGATTGGAAGCGATTGGAAGGTTACAGTAGTGCCCGGAAAACGGCCATGAGGTCGCCATTGAAGTCGTGTAGATGATGTAGACGAGGTATACCATGTAGACCTTGAAAGTGGTCCAGTGTTTTGTAGCATCTTAGGAGTGTAGGTGTAAGAGAAACGATCGTTATAAAACTGTTACGACTCGGTAAGTTTGCTATTACTACTGTGTTGCCTTCATGGCGTGTTGGAGTCCATTGCTCTCGTGGATTTTGGTAGTACGAAATAAACAGCCATCTGATTGTCTTACTCTTTCTCTCGCGTGTTGAAGATTACGAATAACTGGCGTTAGGCCTCAAGTTTGGTGAACCGCTGTGGACAAGGGCCACGGAGTTCATATTTTGTAATTAGTTAAGCGGGTTGCATAATGCGGAAAAATAATACGTGGGGGCGTCCAGAGCCAGGTATTTTTAAAAAATTTAAATCAGGAGGGCTGCGTGAGAAGCACGCATTAGCAACTTAGAACCCGGGAACTGTCTGAAGATCGTGCAAATAATTTTTAAGAATTAAATTCCTGCCAGAAATAGAACTCATCAATTATAAAGGTCTGCTTGTTAATGCTGTTCAGGAATTAAGCACTGTTTATTGTGAGAATCCTGCAAAACATAAATCCATTGTGGGCCGAATGTAGACTTTTTTCATGTTAAAGTTGGTGGTACATATAGTAACCAGTGTGGTTTAAGGCGATGAGCTATTTCTGCCTAATGTTCTCAAGTCTATCTTTTTGCATTATGCCAATGTGATGAATCCATTTGTTTTTGTCATCTTTTATTTTCCAGCTTTCGCCACTGCGTAGAAGTACTGAATTGGTGTATTATAAAGTGATTCTTATGGTCTTTTTAATTTTTGTGAGATCAAAGAAATTGCACCTTAGACCCGTTATTTGTAAAAAGTATTGTTATTGTTTAGCATCATTTCCCTTTTATACAGGTTGATGGGCAAAGTCTCAAAAGCCACCTGTCTCAATGAAGCCTTTCCTTTCTTGATTTCTTTTTAGCTCTTCACTCCTTCCTTGATGTTTTCCAGTACTTGGCCCAGCCATCTTATTCTGGGTCATCCAATATGTTCCTTTACTTTGAATTTGAATTGTAATGCCCTAATCATTTTTATGTATCCCATAAATCAGTTTACAGCACATTCTGTGTTGTCTTCAGGTCTCTCAAGATGAATGTCTGCGCATGGATTGTGACAATGATTGTGATATGCATTATTGTGTACATCATCGCACTGCTGCTAGTAGACTGTGATCTGAGTTTAGCATGGGCAACTAAAGTGGGGAAGCCTATAGGTGAGCTCTTCAGTTTAACGACATTAATCACATAGTTCCCCTGTGACAGTACAGCAGTTCCTTGCTAATCAAATTGATTCCAGAGAAACCGCTGTATAAATATAGCTGTTGAATCTATTAAATTTATTTATAATCTCACATTAAGGGCGAACTGCTTGCACAAGACCCTGAATTAATAATTATAACTCATGCAGGAATTACGGATGAAACAAAACTTCGCAGGTGCACTCCACAATAGGTGTGGAGATGAGTGGGCTACAGAATGTGTTAAAATTGGTTTCCTACCACCTGGAGACACAGGTTGGCATAGTGTTGCATGTATGCAGTTGTTATGGCCAGCATGGCAGGAGTAATTGTAGCAGTTTCTTTGATAACGGAGATGGCATGAACTGGACAGATAGGCACCAGGTCAGTATTGTAAAGTGCACAATGCTGCCAAGTTTTGTTTTCATTGGTAAATTGGTGTGATTATTTGATTCAGGAAGTTCTCTGAGAGAATCATCCTGTACAAGGTGGTTTTGTCCTCACTTCTGAAGTGTCAAAGATTGGATACTGAATCTGTCAGATGTGGCAACGCTGGTATGTAGCATGTCTCCTTGCATGGAACAGAATGTGAATTGAGACCTTGGGTTGCATAAATAATGACACTTTGGATTGTACAGTGAAATCACTACCTTGAACAGAATGTTAAGGATAGAGAGTAGAGTATTTACTGTTTTATATATTATGTAAATTACAGGAAAGTCCAAATTACACTCTAGGCATTCAGGGCTATTTTATGAAAAGGAAATTGACATATGTCTTTCTAGCTAGTAATACAATAACGAATTACATACTTATAAAGCTTCTGATTTGAGTGCACATAGGTCTTTTGAACTTGGTAATGAAATTTTGAATTCCATAGAACCTGGTGGGAATTCTTGATCAGGTGAGCATCTTTCAACTTCTCAAGATAAACCTTGGAGTTAGCTCATTATAAATGCTTGTGCATACTGATCAGAGGTTAACATTGTAAGGTCATGTAATTCATCATTGTTGACAAATATTTTTCAATTTAAACACTTCTGTGTGATAACACAAGTGGACAGTTGCTGGCTTCGAATCAGAGAGTCTTGGGTTCAGTCCCTACTGATTTCATGTGAGATAAGTGGTGGATGGAATGGTACTGATAATTTTTTCCCCCCTGAGTTACTTTGGTTTTCCCTTACTAACTGTCCGTCATTGCTCCATACTCGTCCCTGATGTGTGCAATAGCCCTTACCTGGCTCTTGGCTGGTTACAGGGTAGGGAAGCTGGTTTTCTTGTCTATCCCATATTTCTTGAGTATAAAACACTTTTATTCCTCTGAATACAGTCTGAATCTTCCATACTGAAGATTTACAATGTCAGTAGAATGAATATTTATGAAATTTGAGGTTTTCAGGTTTATGATACCATATAGCGTGGTCCCTATGTTTCAGAAAAACATTCCTCAATTATCAGGGTACAGTCATTTCTTCATTTATGTGATTTTCATTTAACACAGTCAAAAAATGCATACCACTTCTTAATTCACATAATTTAATACTCACTTTGATATGTTTATGCAGTCACTAATGATACTGACAGCATCATTAAATGACAAGCTTAAAAATAAAAGATCAGATAGAAGAATGTTAGCTTGACTAAAATAAATGTAGTTTTCACTTTATGTTCAGTGAAAGTATGAAATCTGAAATAAAATAAGCTAAGCAAAATATTTTACATGAATGAATATCTCGGGGGCACGTGGTGGCGTAGTTTGTTGAGGCACTATGCTACAAGCCGGAAGGTTGGATCAAATCCCGATGAGGTGGATTTTTTTTTCAGTTTGACCTAATCCTTCCAGCCGTACTATGGCCCTAGGGTTGACTCAGCCTGTAACAGAAATGAGTACCAGGAATATTCCTGGGGATAAAAGGCAGCCGGCACATAAGGCTGACAACCTCACCGCCATCTCTGAGCCGATTGTCTAGAAAAATATGGTAGTGTCAACATCTCACAGCCCTCTGGGAGTCCACAGTCTGTTACAGGGATACCTTCACTTACTTTTACTTCTGCTTGAACGAATATCTGTATCCCTCTGGATTGGCTTGGCCTGTGCCTTAACCCCCCCCCCAGTTTTACTATATTTGATTTACATGTTTTTAATTTTCACTGTGTTTCTCAGGAATGCATCTACTAATAAATTGAGAAATAACTATACCTTTTATCCCGGTAGGTGTTACCTATGCTTCAGGGCTGGCACCTTCTACCATTGTTTCCATGTAACGGCCGCACCATAGCTCAAGCGGTTAGTCGCTGGCTTCCCACCATGGCGGCCCAGGTTCAAGCCCAGGTCTGGTCAAGCGGAATTTGTGGTGGACAAAGTGACANGGCTGACAACCTCACCGCCATCTCTGAGCCGATTGTCTAGAAAAATATGGTAGTGTCAACATCTCACAGCCCTCTGGGAGTCCACAGTCTGTTACAGGGATACCTTCACTTACTTTTACTTCTGCTTGAACGAATATCTGTATCCCTCTGGATTGGCTTGGCCTGTGCCTTACCCCCCCCCCCAGTTTTACTATATTTGATTTACATGTTTTTAATTTTCACTGTGTTTCTCAGGAATGCATCTACTAATAAATTGAGAAATAACTATACCCTTTATCCCAGTAGGTGTTACCTATGCTTCAGGGCTGGCACCTTCTACCATTGTTTCCATGTAACGGCCGCACCATAGCTCAAGCGGTTAGTCGCTGGCTTCCCACTGTGGCGGCCCAGGTTCAAGCCCAGGTCTGGTCAAGCGGGATTTGTGGTGGACAAAGTGACACTGTAACCGTTCATCATAATTTTGTGGACTATTTTGTATTAATTAAATCTATATTAAGTTAATATCACGTAAATACAAAGAGATCCAGCAGATAGCCAACTCTTACACGCAGAAGGGACATAGTTCAAGTTTTGCTATGTGGGCAGGAAGTAACATCTGGTACTTTTCCTGGAATTCTGGCAGTTTCAAGCAGAGTCAGAAAGTCTTTGAGAATTTGAGAGCTGACAGCTTGGGACAGCCATAACTTAGAAGTGGGAGGGCCGGAGCCTCATCCCCTGATCGTAATGCATCAAGTCGCTGTCAACCTTAGCATCAGGTCAGCAACTGCCAGAATCACATAGCAAAGCAACATGATTGGAAATTCACAAATTTAAGGAACCTCCTAGTTTGAAAACTTAACCAATAGAAAAGGTTGGAGGAGTGGATTTCTCTTGTAGTCTGTGGTTCGTGGACCTCAGTATTCAGAGAGAGTTTATTCCTCCTCGGTGTCTTCATCCAACTTTTGGCCAAGTCAGACACAGATTACAACTATGTCCCTTCAGTAAAAGTATTATAAGTTAAAAATCCAAATAAGTGTTACTAATAGATTCTATTGTATTCAGTGAGCTGGAGTGAATTAAATAATTACTAAGTGCAAAAGTCTGGAGTGGTGTATGTGACTGTAGTGTAAGAATCTTCCTGCCCTGCCCGAACCAGACTCGTAAGGCCCAGGATAAGAACTTATCTCTACACATTACAGAGCAGAACCCAGATACTCCCGTCTTTCCCTACATGTGTGACACCTAATGGTAGTACAGGAACAACTCCCGCCTACCAGCACCAACAACCACAATTCTCATCCCTTCCCACCTAACTTCTCGCTGTCCACGAGAAGCGGGAGGAGGGCAGTAACTCCAGTGGAGGTGTCCAGAGACGAGGTGCAGGTGAGCCGCAGCACCAGAAGGAAGAGGACGGTGATAAGTGACGACCAACATGTGGGGCTTGAAGTCTCACTGAGTGGGTCGGTTACTTAAGTGGAGCCCAACGAAGTGAGCGGTTAAAGCACTAGGGCAGGTTTTCTCCAAGTACTTCGGTTTCTCCTGCCAATCTACGTACCACCAAATTCTCCATCATCATAATAACCAGGGGCAGGTACAATAGGCCAATCAGTGGCCGACGTGCCGAGTGAACCCAGCTGGACTCCATCCCCCACTATGCAAATAAAAAAAATTGTTTCCATGTTGTAAGGGTTCAGAAACTCTCCATGTGAGATTCCAGTTTCTCTCCTCATAGTCACTGCTATGAGAACCTCAAATCTCCCTACCCTGAAGATGGAGGCAGTTCATTCCTCCAAAGTGTCATCATGATTACCAGACTACACAGTGTCACATCCCAGAAGAGAGTAATTTTATTTCCTTTTTAATTTCTTGCCAGATCTTTTTCACTTCTTGATACCTTCCAGTACCTGGCTCAATCATCTTGTTATCTTGTTCTGGGTCTTCCCATAGGCCTCTGGTCTTTCAATTTTAATTTTAAGCCCTTCTCAGTATCATTTTTCTGTCCATTATAACCATTTCTCATCTGACTCTGTTAATAAATTTTAAATTTAAGCTTCTTTAAGAAATTCATAAGCGGTATATTTGTGTGAAGCATTGGTGTCTCCACCTACTAGACTTTTACAGTGTTGTAATTCAGAAATATGGACAGTGCTTATTCTGATAGATTTGGAGTTCTCGTGGTGACTGAAGAGTGCTGTCTTCAAGGTTGTAACGACATCTACGAACTTTGCAACACTGCAGCACCGAAGACTGTGCACTTCAGTAAACATTTCCTTTTGAAGTCTGGTTTATCTTACATTGGTGCATTTTGCACATCAGCAAACATGATAATACGTTCTTTCATAAGATATAATTTGAGTCAGAAGTAAACATGTGTCTGACTGTTGCAGATACATTGTGTGGCAAGGTCGTGTGGATTACTGGAGCCTCTAGTGGCATTGGTGAGCACATTGCTCTTGCTTTTGCCCGTGGAGGAGCCAAGCTTGTCCTGTCAGCTCGCAGATTGAATGAACTTGAGAGAGTTCAGAGTAATTGTCTCAGTACGTAATAACTCTTATATTCCTTTTGGAATTATTTTTTTGACCCATGGAAACTTTTTTAAACAGCCTCATAACTGTCTCTCTGGTAGTAGAGACCAATTATTAAGTAAAGGTCAGAGCTGAAAATGGCTGTAGATGCCTTCCATGGCAAACATAAGTCAGAATAGTCATGTCTTGGCTGAGAGGTCCCTGCTGAGCACCTCCTGATTATATGAGTCTGGAGCACTACTGCCTTACCAGCCTGCTCAGGATATAAGGGCTGTATGTTATATCTCTATCTGATGATCTCATCTTGTAGGGATTGGGAAGAATCTCACAGAACGAGATGTCTTGGTGATGCCAATGGATGTTACAGCAGTTGACCAGATGGAGTTCCACTTTCAGCAGGTCTTAGAACATTTTGGGAAGGTAAAGATTTACCTTCCTGTTCATCATATACAAACCGTAACTAAAATATATTAACTAAGTGGAATTGAGTGTTTCTAGAGAAGTTAATATTTGCTCAGCTACACAAAATAAAAGCTGAAGGTTCATTACTGTGCTCACAGCAGACCACTATTGATCCCTTTCCTGGGCCAGATGAACCCAGACCACACACTCACATCCTGTTTCTTCAGGATGCCTTTTAATATTATCCTCCATCCTTGTCTAGGTCTTCTGGTGATCTCTTTCCTTTAGATTCCCCTGCCAAAATATTGTGTGTGCAACAGCTCTTCTATGCATGCCATATCCCCTACCAATCACATCCTCTCAATGTGAACATCATAATATTTGTTGAGTACTGATCATGAAGCTCCTCATTATGACTTTTTCTCCAGTCTCCTGTTCCTTCATCCCCCTGACATCGAAGGATTCTCCTCAGCACACTGTTCTTACATGCCCTCAGTCTGTGTTCTGAATAATGTATGCAAAAGTGTAATTTGACCTGTTTCTTTGTACAGGTATGCAAAGTGGTCAACACTTTGAAGGAACAGAGTACTGATAAAGATATTTGAATCTGAGAGAAATAACATATTAAAGAACTGGAGAACAGTACATTATGAGGAACTTCATAATTTTTGTACTCTTCACCTAATGTTTATTAGGGTAATTAAATCAAGAAGGATGAGATGGAAGGGACATATAATACATATGGAGAAATTAAAGATGCATATCAATTTTTTGGTGGGGAAATCTTAATTGATAGGGATCAAGGTCTGTTGTGATAGGTTATCTTCTATTATAAAGTTTCAAAGCCTTCTGGTTTGTAACTTTATGTTAAAATATGTTTTATATTATTATACTGGGATTTCTCTGTTCCGTAATATTCGTTTTATAATGTGATTAGAACTGAGATTGATTTTGCATGTTTCTACACATATCTCTTGTCGTCTTCCCTTCTGAATTGATTTCGCTTCTCGAATAAATAATCTTGTCCAGCTGTTTTAACTGTTGTGCCGTTAACTTCTGTGTAAATGTAGGCATTTCAAATATTTCAGCTGGACATCCTAGTAAACAATGCAGGTCGATCACAGCGAGCAGAGTGGGAAGACATTGAACTTGGTGTCGATAGAGAGATGTTTGATCTCAATGTTTTTGGGGTGGTAGCCTTGTCTCGCATTGCTGTGCGCTACTTCCAGAGGAAGAGTGAAGGGCATATTGTAGTCACATCAAGTCTTGCTGGAGTGAAGGCAGTTCCATTTTCAGGCAGCTATACTGGTGCAAAACATGCCATACATGTAAGTAAATGTTTTCGCTATTTTTAATTCAGCACTATACCATGAAGATGTTTGGAGGAGTGCGGTATAGTTCCATGCATTCTTAACCTTGGCACTAAATAGAAGCAAGTGGTCAGCTTCTTGCCTTGGTTATTGTACCTCCAGGGAAAGAGCCCTGGCATTCAGTGGTTAGGAAGCTGGATGGGCCTCAGAGCCAATATGGTAGTTGTAACAAAGAGAAAAATACCTTGCCCCAGCCATAAATCAACCCCAGTGCCTTGGTTGTCCAGCCGATATCCCATTTGCTGTACCAGTTGAGTTGTCTTGGGTCAGTGAATGTAAGACATTTCTATGTACACTGGCAACAGCCTTTCAGTTGATGGTATCAGTACTGGCTCACAATAAAGTTCAGGTGACAGGATTGGCAGCGAAAGTATTGCCATAATTATTGCTGTTGCAGTTTTTGTTATACCATCTATGCCTAGGTCCAAATTGTCTCTTCCCTTATTCTTTTCTTTCTAAAAGAGAATTTGCCAAAGTCTGAAGCCATGTGTCATATGTCATTAACATGCTGAATTTTAACATTACAGCCTTCGTGCTGGAGGACCACCCTTTCTCAGCTCTGCAACTGCTTATTAAATATATTTGCAGCTTTGCTCCATACCCAGGAGTATCTACAGATGCAGACAGATTCTACTAAATAATAGTAATGACACAGATATTTGGTTTTGCTAGGGTTACTTCGATGCTCTAAGGATAGAGAAGCTGGCAAGCAACATAGCAGTGACTTTGCTGTGCCCTGGTCCTGTGCATAGCAACTTCCTGGCCGAGAGTTTTACAGACAGAGCTGGAGAGGTGAGCGGTAGCAATGACTTCCATAGTTTTGTCAGAGCACAAACGTTCACAAGGGGTGTCCATTAGTGCCACAAAAGTTGATCAGGAAACTTGGTAAATCTCAATTATCAAAGTCTCTTATTCTTGATAATGGTTAAAAAGTCCCTCTTTCAACCTGAATCTATAGGTCTCATATGTATATAAATACAGTGAAACTTCAATTTTACAATCCTGGATTTTCTGTTTTTCATGAATTTATTCACTTTTTGCATGGTCCCAGCCAAATTCCCATAACAGTGTTAAACTTTAGTGGATTTTACATTCCTTACTTTCACATTTTCCATGAATTTGCATTTAATTTTTCTAGTCATAACTATAAAAATCTACCCAATTTTACATTTTGTAGTTCAAGTTTCAGAATTTCATATCTGAGGCAACAGACATCCTCCTCTGTTAGCAGTCACATACGGTTTATTCCAAAAATACATGCTACCAGTAAGCTGAGGCATACCTTCCAGTGATCTGCATGCATTGTATGACTTCACTAAAGCCTGTTGTTCATGAGGGTATTTTTACACTGCTGTAGTCAAAGCAGCTTGCTTGTTAGGACTGCTTTGATCTTGTTGCATCTTGGTATAACTGTAATTCACCAAGAGCAGTGTGTCTTATGTCTGATAAGCGCTCCAAAATCTGACCACTGCAACACAGTGAGTGTGTTTTCATAAATGAAACAATCAGCAGAAATGCACCCAGGTTAAATTCTTCAATCTCCCATTGCCCATATACGAGTAACTTCACTTCAGTGAGACCAAATTTTTGTCAATTAAGATGAATTTCACAGCAAACGTATGAAATACAGATAATAAAGAAAAACAGAAATCATTTACAGTAAGTGATAAAATAAACATTCTAGTGCAGGTTGATGTCCAGTGTGTACCTTTCTCTAAGCAATGGAAATCACTGAAACTTTTGCCACTGGAGAAACTGGGATTTGCACTTACTGCGTGGTTCAAGCAAGCAATTGAGAATAATGCTTCCATAGATGGCACCCACCCAACGAGAATGCCTTGTACATAGCTGCTCATCTATGAATAGTCAACTTTTTGCCTTCCAGTGCATCACCAGATTTAGGGGAGACAACATTGTTTGCAGAACTCTTAGGTGAGAGCAGGATATTAGTCAAGAAACTGTAGAAGACTGGAAAAATTACCAACTGTTACAAGAAATTGAAGGTTATGACATGTGTGATATATGTAATACTGATGAGACTGGTCTATTTTTCAATCTGCAACTTAGCAAAAACCTTCACCTTTCAAGGAGATATTTGCCCTGGTGGTATAAAATATAAATGGTGGGTTACTGTACTCACATGCAATGCAGATGATCATGATAAACTGCCATCTCTTGTAGCTGAAAAATATTGTGACATGCTGCCTAAAATCTGGAATATCTGAGTCAGAGTGGGCATCCATTGCTAGACAGTGGCTTGGTAGTCACGTTCCTGCATCGTTGTCTGGGTAACAGACACTCATGTGACAACACATACATAACAGACCATTACCATGGAAATGAAAACCAGAACTAGTGCAGTTCCCACGGTAGTGAATACACTAACTTTCGGTGCATCGAAAACGCGAAACAGAACCCTTGAACAAGATGTCTTCTAGACCGTCTGACTGTCGAATATAGCAGACTGAGTAGATGGGAGAACAGAACAGAACAACAGAACAGAGGTGAACAAACCAGAGCTGGGAGCAGAAGAAACCAGCAGAGCTAAGAACTTAAGGAAGAAATAGCAAAGACATGCCAACAAGAATAGCAGTGGAACTGGGTGCTAAAAATTGCAGAATCTTGCTTTTCATTGATCAGTATGCTGCCATTTGAAGACCACCATATTTATCAGCAACATCAAGTTGTATTTCTCCCAGCTAACTGTACCATCCACCTACAGTCTTTAGATTTTGAAATAATCCATGCATTCAAGCACCATTACAAAAAGCAGTTGATTCAGAAGACTATAGCCATGATAGATGGGGGCTGCTCCAAGAAGGTGCCAGATGTATTGTCTGCAGTGCTCTTAAAAACAGAAGCATGGAGATTGGTAACACCGACTACTATCAAGAATATCTTTGTGAAGTGTTGTTCCTAAAATGATCATGCCAGCAGCAGTGATGACGAAGAGGATGACATTGTGTAGAATGTAAGATCTGAGGCTCTCATTGCAATAAGTATTCAGATTATAGCCTTTTCAGAGAACATAAAAAGCTTCTGGCCAAGGACAAGACAGTTACTTCCTGTTGATATTACACTTCTAGCATTGTGGTAGCATAGTTGGTTGAGGCACTATGCTACAAGCTAGAAGGTCACGGGTTTGAGTCCCCATGAAGTCATTGGATTTTTCAGTTGAGCTAAGCCTTCCAGCTGCATTATGGCCCTGGGGCTGGCACAGCCTCTAACAGAATTGTGTACCAGGAATCTTCCTGGAGGTAAAGGGCAGCCAGCACATAAAGCTGACAGCCTCACAGCCATCTGTGAGCTGATTGTCTATCAAATGTGGGAGCCTTGACGTCTCGCAACCCTTTGGGCCTCCACAGCCTATTACAGGGACAGCTTTACTTTTTTCTTTAAGCGCTGGCCCTAGAAGAGCTACTTTGCCACTCATCTTCTACATTCCCACTTCATGTCTGATGCCCTGAAATGGACTACTTCCCCATTTATTGTCTGAAGGTGTCCCAAAATGGACTAATTTCCCACTTTACTTGTTTGAATTGACCCTGAGAAGGCTACTTTTTCATACTCTCCTGTTCCCCATTGCTACTGGCCCAGACAGGGCTGTCTCCTCTCCTCCTCCTAAAGTTAACGATGAGCCACCACATCCTTGCTTTGTTGATTCATGTCACATTTTCCATAAAACGTGGCAACATTTGGCTCTGCTTTGACCCTGAAGTTGGAGGCATCATGTTCATTTGCAATATTAATATGTCCACAAGGTAATGTGGTGTCAGAATCCAAAACACCACAATCTGAATGTATGTATGTCCTAAGCATCACATAGAGAGATAATGTATAGTTTTTAAAATAACATTTTGATTGACTTTTTGAATGACTATGGACTGGACAGGGACATCATTCATGGAACCATGTACAGAATTGGTGCCCAGTAAATATCTGGGCTTCTCTGAGTAGTAAAAACAGCTGACTGAGCAGGTTGATGTGGTGGTAATGCTCTGTACTTGAATTTGGGAGGTAGAGAGAGGAGGGGGAATGTTCCTTGTCCAAATCCTGGCTGGATCACTGGCTGTCCTATGTGATTTTCATCATTGGGACTGAATCTTGAAATAGGCCACAGCTACCCTCTTTCAAATCCTTGTCACCATTGAGGATCATCTTCCAATCTTACTAAAACAGTAGTTGAAACAGTATTGTTAAATAACTTAAACAGTGAGTTGTTACAGTGCACTAACAAACTGATGAACTCAGTGTTGTGGACTCCTTGAGAATATAACACTTGCTCAGCTCTGCAGGAGATTCCTCACCTTTAAGGGAAACTGAAGTTTCGTTATCATGTTGACAAGACCTCGCCATGTGTCCCTGTCCTGAGGCAGATGACTCAAGTTCATATCCTCCCATCCTTTTTAATGCTATCCTCCCAATGTCTCCCATGCAGTCTCTTCACTCCAGGTGTTCTGTCTAAGATTTTGTATGAATTTATCATCTCTCAAATGCATGCTACATGCCCCACCAATTTGATCATCCAAATAGTATTTGGTAAAGAGAATTAATTATATTTCACTGTTGTAGAAATTTGGACAGGCTGTGGAGGCAACTGATAGACGGATGACTGCAGAGCGATGTGGATATCTGTGTGCAGTTGCTATTGCCAATAAGCTGGAAGAAGCATGGATGGCTTTGTTTCCAATCATTCCTTTATACTACATTTTTGTCTACTATCCCAACATCACATCCCTGTAAGTATATATAAGTTCTACTAGTATAACACCAACTGAGAATTCTGTACTGACAAGTCTGCTGTAGACTCATATTCAGGAGGTGGTCAGTTCAAATCATGGCTGGGACATCAATTATCCTGAAGTTTTTCATGGTTTTTCTGAGTCCCTCCAGGAAAATCCCAGGATAATACTTTGTTTAGGCCACAACTGCTTCCTTCAAAATCCTAATTTATCCTACCATCCAATGGTATATAACCTCAGTACTAAGAGCATTGTTAATAACCTGCTACAGGACAGGGGAATTCAGTGGGAAGTCTCATGGTTTGTTATATAAGCTTTCATACAATTAATTTTCCTTTCTTTCGCCCATATTCCTTTCCAGTCATCCTGGACACATCATTCAGTAACATGAATGTGTTGAGCCTGACGTATAACAATATTGCTCATGAAAAACATGCATGAATAGTCAGCTGTATACAGTCTTCTTCACATCCACATGAAACTATTATCGGTACTCAGAGTACACATGATATATGAAACAAACTACATCTTGCTCTACCTACTACCTACTTCGACATTCATGGAATGTGTTAAACTAATCACCGCCTCATTGCTGTGGTAACCCGAGATTGCATAATGACAGCAATAAATCTCTTACTTAAAAACTTTGTATATATATGTAGAACGATGCAAAATATAGACATATTCACTGCTGTGACACAGTTACTAAACTCTTTTATCACTGGAATTTGAGGTTCTCACAGCAGCAGCTATGAGGTGTAATATTCTGGGAAGCAAGCTGTGCTTGTTTCTTGCTGGTTACTTGCTTGGCTTACACTTCACACCTGAAGATGGAAGCAGTATCTCCTTCTGAAATGTCACTGAACTTCTCCTGTATTGCACGGCATCATATCCTGGAAAAGAGCGATCTTCATTCCTGTGTCTGTCCTGTTTTGTCATNGGGAAACTTTTTGCCTGATTTTGCTCAGAGGTCTCCTAGAGACATGAGGATCTTTTACGTGCCATAAATCTATGACACGGGACCCATGGCTTAAAGTCTCTCCTGGAGGACTTGTTCCCTGAATTTTTCCGCCTTTAAAAATTCCACAACCTCTGCTGGGTTTGAACCCGCGTACCTTGAGTCATGAGGTGGGAACGTTACCCCTAGACTACAGAGGCCGCTTTATTTCAGTCTTAAAAAAAATAGATTTGGGGATAACTTTTAGCGTTGTGATTGTGATGAAATAAATGAACCATACAAACAGAATCAGTAATAAAATGGGNGTATTTACGCATGTATAGGCCGCACATTTTTTGCCAAAAATTCAAGAGGAAAACTGGGGTGCGGATTATATTCGAAATATTCGAAATCACACTTCAATTTAAAAAAATTATATTCATAATTAGTAATACAGGGTGTAATACTCCTGAAATAATATTCCAAGAAAATTATTTTTTCTATAATTTCTGTCTGAAAATTGTGCTGCGGCCTATACACGCACGCGGCCTATACATGCGTAAATACGGTATATAGTTATCAGTATTATTTATAAGGTTTAATTTATCTGAATATGAAATATTTCAATGGCTTAGACGTGCATAAAGACTTGACTGAAAATAGTTTAATTCTGTTTGCATTGAGTTTTTCTTTTTCTGCCGTCATTTTTCAGTCATTATTCACTTTTCAGCTACAGTAAATCATTCTCTACCATCAACCTTAACTGGGACTTACCACTTTTCTCCTTTGTTCAGGGTTACTGTCAAAAATTTTCTTAGCCACCCTTATTTGATCCATTTTTCTCATAAGCCCCAACCACTCCAACCTTCTCCTTTTAATACTTCCACCAGATCAGGGGTTCTATATGGTTCTCTCAGTTCTTAAATATCTGTGAATGTGGCCAGTTCATGTCCATGGACATAATGTTCTGCTGATGTTTCAGATTCGTGCATTACCTTGGCGCTCGATTCTTTCTAAAGATGCGTGACACCAAAGTGAGAAAGGAGATGAGAACTGTGTGAATATGTTATCAGCTGCATTCTGGTTGTGCTGTAGGCTCCACCATCAACTGCCCAGACCTTACATATCATATCAATTTGAAGCAAGTTCACTGACCAGAGGTGGAGCTTCATTAAACAAAAACTGACATGGTTTGAAGAAAGAATAAGAAAAACGTGGTAAGGTAATTCATACAGCATAGAGGTTCCCAAACTTCTATACGTTGCACCCCCCTTAAAACAGTTAATAATTTCATGCCCCCCTTCCAGAACAAGTGCAACAGATTTGACATAAAATTTAGCTCTCTCTCTCTCTCTGTGAGAGAGATGGCAATAAAGCTCAAGAACTGGTGTGAAGAAAGAAAGAAAAAGAATAAATACAAGGAAATAAAAATTGTTTTATTTCTATTCAAGTAATTTCCGCCAACTTGAATGCATCTGTTGAAACTTTTAAAAACTTGTTTGAAAACAGTCAGCAAAGGCCTCCAAAGAACAGTGTTCAGTTTGACATAACTTACCATATTGAAATTGAAGTTTTGAAATGGCCACTCAAAGGTAATTTTTCAGCTTCATCATAGAACAATGCTTTGTTTTGATGGCTGCCACTGCTGAAAATCCAGTCTTGCATAGGTAAGATGTTGCAAAAGGAAGGAGGATGTTCAGAGCTTTCCTGCTGAGGTGAGTGAACTCTCCAATGCCCACCCCAGGTTCTTTGTACAACTTCATAGGAAACTGTACTTTTAAAGAAGTATCATATATAATATCTATTCTTCAAGAGAGAAAAGTCTTAATATTGAAGCAGATCATGGAATGGATCTATGATCCATTTTTATTGATCACGTACTGGTTCTGGAAAATACTTAGAAAACCAGGACTGTAGATTAACTGAGTGATCTTTGATACACTGATCAATTCCAGTGTGACTTCACAGAATCTTTCAAATGAGAACATGTCCATACTTTTCACTTCTAGTTTTCTGAACTGTAAGTCCAACTTTTGAATAAATGCCTTCATTTTATCAATCGCTACAATGATCATTCCCTTGCATACTTGTGTTCAATACACTGAACTTCTGAGAAATATCACTTAAGTATGCTAACTCAGAAACGTGTTCATTACAAAAATGTTAAGCGTGTACTATGATTTTTCCTCTCCTAAAAACAGTGTTGCTACTTCTTGCAAGTTGTAAGCATGAACCACAACTTTCCTCATAATAGCCAATGAGAATTACAGTAAAACTGGAGTGACTGATGCTGTGCCTCCATTTCCTTGGATAATTCTGCAAAGTCTGCTATTTAGTGGATGAGTCTTTATGTAGTTTACAGCTTTGATCACTGTATCCGTCACTCCAGAGTTCTGGGCATAACTCATTCATAGCTTCTAGTACTCGTTTAATCAAAACTTGCGCTCCTTTATTTCCCACCATTCTGCGAGCCCAATCCATGCATACTCAAACATCTCACCATTTTATCTTTCATGAAGTCATCAATTTTGAAGTTCTTTTGCTGTTGCTCCTCTTTTTATAGGCTTGCAAGGAAGTATAAAACTGTGATTTTAGTCCTAAAGCAAACTATACTGACCAAGTGACCGCCGCTTGTTGGCAAAGTTAGTGCCAACTTTAGCAGATAGAGGGTGTTGCATGGTCAGCGCAACAAATCCCAGTGGCTGTTAATTTTGGTTTTCTAGCCCAGAGCCACTATTTCCTTGAAATAGCTCCTCAGTTATCCTGACGAGGTTGAGTGGACTCCAGTCCACATCCACTACTTCTCAGAAAATCTGGTAGTACTGGGAATCGAACCTGGACCTCTGGATCTGTAGCCAGGAACTCTGACCACTAGACCACAGAGGTGGTCTTGCAGAGAAGTGTGTCTTTATTAATTTCTGTATCTTCAACCTATCACATGTAAGCTCTCAAGTGACCAATACCACTACAGTTACATCAGTCTGTATTGAAAAAATGTTTGTTTCTCAACTTCTCAAACAACTGTTCTTCTGAGTCTTCTGATACATCAGCAGTCTATTGAGTTGAACACATTTTTCACCAAATGTTGTTACCACGTCTGTCACAGCAGGGAGTATCAGAATCTCAGAGATCATGTGTGGTTTTTTCTGCCCTATTTTGAATGTCACTTGATGTTCTGGATGATACTGTAGTAGTTGCAGCTGTCCGCCGACGTACAGTTGCCACGACTGTCGCTCGAGCTTGAGTTCTTAATCACAGGATACGGGTGCTTCGGAGATGGGAGTGGAACACACTTTGGGGTAAATAAATCCGGGATCTCCAGAACATTGAATATCGTACTTTTAATTTAAAATTCAATTCAACTGTTAATCTTTGTATAGTCCTTTAAGTTAGCAGCTCCATCCACCCTACTCGCTACCCTACAGTTAAACACGTATTTCTTCCATATCTACCATTCAACTAATGTCCTCCTCCGCTCCCTATAGCCGACTCTCCCTCTNCCTAAAAAAACGAAAAATAGAAACATAAAAAGAGAAAGCCACGGGTTGAGCCCGGCATCTGACCTATATTCGTATTTTGGAGAAGCCCGTAAACTTTTTTAGGTCTTCAAGGCACGCAAGACCCCTGCTGGCCAGTCTCACACACGGTGAGTTCATGGGTTTATGGTATTGGGAGTAAACAGGCAGCATTAGGGACAATAGGGGCACCCTTAGCCTAAGGAGGACAATAGCTGAATTACGAGACGGTCCCGGGATGGTATCTCGCCGATGGAGCGTCTTTCATGGTGAGAAACAATGCATTAGTTGTTCGTATCCTTAATTATATAATTTTGCGAGGGACGTACGGTTACATAGTATTAACAAAATTCTTTTGCTGGATGTGAATTTCATCAAGTTTTGTATGGATGTATTCTTCAGACATTTTTTGTTTCTGAATATTTCATTTCAAGGTGCCACTTCAGTTTATTTGGCTTCATGCTGTCAGCTGCTAAGATACTGAGACACAAAAAACAGTGAGGTTGCACTTCACTGTTAATTATTAAATCACACAGAACTGAAAGATATGATTCATAGTACATATTTAGGCAACTCAGACTACTATTTGTTGTCGGTTTGTCGTCTGTTTTTGTATTTATCCCCATTAAAGATCTATGTGTTGTTCTGTGGTTCAGAAAACACTTATCAGTACTCAATACCCAACTGTAACAATTATGTATAGTAAATGTTATGGGATGTATGTTCTATGTCTGTACCCAATGGAACTAAAACGTTTACGTGTTAACACATATTCAACCACTGAAGTATTTCTGTGTCTTTAACATGCCAAAGTCTATGACTGAAGACTATTTACAATATAAATGAGTTTACTCACTAACTTACACTAAGATGGTGTCACAAGGTCTGTGACAACAGTTGTATCGTCAGGGCTCGGCTTTCTGACCCTAGACAGTGGAGAAATTTAGGGGTGGAAATGATCAGCTTGAGGGGTTAAGCAGCTTTCTTATACCCCTTAACAACAATGGAGTGAGTTGATCTAATGGTAAATTTACTAGCATTTCTCACAGAGCTACAAAATCCATAACAGTACATAGATTTATATTGTCATTTACTTTCTAAAACTGCTGATGCTCTCCAAGTTTGAATTTTGTAGTATTGTATGACAACTAAACTACCACAGACAAGCAAAGGAGTTTAAAAAATGTTTCTCCATATTAAGTTTAAAATAGTTTTTCAGACACCCCCCCCCCCAAAAAAAAATTATGTTCCCCACACTTTTGGAACCTCTGACTGTATAGTGGATGATATTTGAAGTTTTCATGGTGATGAAATGGGTGTGACATTTTGGAGGAACCTTAATATTTTATGCTAATGAATGCATAAGGGGTATGTGTAGAGCAGCCATTGCACCATCTTCAGAGATCTATTGTGCACATTTTACCGTACAGATGGAGACAGTATGTCTGTTCCTTTGAAACATTGATATCCATCTATGGGACTACATACTGTCATAACTCAAATTCAGTCTTTAGCAATTTATTGATGACAGGAAACAACACTTAAAAGGATGAAATGAAATGGTAATGAAATGCAAGTGTTTTCTAGGGTATAATTTTACATGAATCTGTAATTATTGTTGACTAAATACTGGTAAAAAGTTTGTTAAAATTCCATTCAGTTTTAAAGATGTGATTCATTTTGTAATACATTGAAAACACCCAGTACTGGAGTGTAAAAGAAATGTGAATACAATCTCTTGGATTTTACAGGGTATTTTCTGTGTTGTGCCATATGGAATTAATCTTTTAATTATCCAGAATGGTAATTTTTCAGCCATAAATGAGATTATAGAATACCATATTTTATCAGTTATATATGTATAAATGTTTTTTCCTACCATAGGCCTAATAAAGGACACCCAAGATATTATTAAATTTAATCTGTATTCCTACATTCTAAAGGGTTGTGATGATGGTGTACATCACTGATGATTGCTGGATTTTTGGACTTTGTCCATCATCTGGTATTCTAAAAAAAGTTCCAGAAACAATCTGTTTCTGTCCATGGGTGAGGAGGTGGGAGTCCTACTCTGTTAGATCCATTAGAAAGAGCTAACCTCGGCATCAGGTGGTCTCCCATTAACAAACCCTGATCTCAGGTGTATGTATGAGTATACAGATATAGTTGTACTGACATAGACTGTCCAGTGTTGAGGTTAGCGCTAATGAACCCAGCTGAGTAGATGTCTCCAATACCTTCCTCACCTGCGGACAAACAACCAGTTCCCAAAACGCTGTTTTTCGGTATACTGGATGATGGACAAAACCTAGCAATCCAAACTGTATTCTTGTGTGTCTCCTGTTAAAGGGATGTACAAGGCTTTGGATTTGGTTCAACCACCATTCTGATTTCTTTAGAATAAACTTTTAATTTCTTAATTTGAGTGTTATCCCTTGGTTTTACCTACTATATTGTGATATTGACAAGGAAAGAAACAGTATCCTCAGTGACCATCTCCCTATTCTGGCAAAATAACCCTCTCAAAGGCCTGAGATTGTTTCATCATATGAGGGAGAGTAAGTAAACAGGTATGGACTGCGCCATAGCTCAAGTGGTTAGTCGCTGGTTTCCCACTGCGGCGGCCCAGGTTCGATTCTGGGTCTGGTCAAGTGGGACTTGTGGTGGACAAAGTGGCACTGGGGCAGGATTTCTCCTGCCAATCTTCATTCCACTAATTGCTCCACAATCACCCTCACCTATCATCTGGGGCTGGTACAATAGGCCAGAAGTGGCTGCAGTACAAGGGACCTAGTCCCACCCCACTAGCAATAAAAAAAATAAACAGGCCACAAATGGAAGTAAAACCACTGTAATGAATGTAAAAGATTTTCTATGTGTATCACTAGGTAGCAGATATGCATGTTCTGAGGCTGGTTTCAGTAGTCAAAATGGCGACTGTGCTTGAGGTTTTACTACTGAAGAGTCACTTTCTGTTATGCGCTTTTTGTGGGCAAAAGGACTCCGTGCAGAGGATATTCATAAAAGAAATATTTCCTCTTTACAGTGGAAAGTGTTTGTCATGTAAAGCAGTTCTCGGCTGGGTCAAGAAATTCTCTCAAGGACATTTGAAAGTTGCAGCAGATGATGCCCGACTAGGTCACCCCATTGAGACTGTGATAGAAGAAACTGTGCAATGGATGGAAGAGTTGATTTGAGCTGACAGGAGGATAACAATAGTGTAGAAACTGCACTAGGACATTCCAGATGTTTAGCATACAGCATAATGCATGGTCGTTCAGAGTTTCAGAAAACGTGCATGGTGGGTGCCTAAAGAACTGAAGGACCAAGAAAAAATTTACCTGAATGGGTCTGTCCTTGTAGCATCCTACCATATGCAGATGGAGAAGCTATGCCTAACAGGATTGTTAGATTGTTACTGGGGACAAATCATGGGTGCATCACTACCAACCCATATCAAAGCATGCTTCAGTGCAATGGAAACATTCCAGTTCACCTTCAACAAAAAAAAATTTAAGGTTGCTCATACATCATTGGCTGGGAGGATTATGCTTACCATGTTTTGGGATGATCAGGGAGTACTGTTACCCTATTTTCAAAAGTGTGGTGAAAATGTCAATTCTGCATCACACTGTGAAGTTCTGTTTAAGCTTCAGGATGCAATTCGCAGAAAACTTCCAGGCAACTGGCAAGAGGGGTACTGCTTCATCATGACAATGCCAGACACCATACAGCTCGAGAAACCCAGGGGAGAATTCAAGAACTACAGTGGGAACTTCTTGAGCATTCCCCTTACAGCCTGGACTTGGCCCCTAGTGACTACTATCTGGTCTGCTAATCACCTTGGTGGCAGATGTTTTGCTGATGACGAAGAGGTTAAAATGGAGGTGCGGAAGTGGCTGACACAACAGTAAAAAGACTTCTATGCTGCAAGTTTTGATGCAGTGGTAAAGTGATGAGACAAGTGTATCAATGTTAGTGGAGGATAAGTCAAGAAAGAAATGTTTTCTCCAGGTTTGAATATAAAGTTTTACATTTTATATCCATTTGTGACCTATTTACTGACTCTCCCTCATAGGTTGGTTCACTCGGGACCCCTATCCCAGTTCTGGTCCTCCCCCTGCCTATATTCTTACAACCTTTTCCATGCTCAGCAAGCTCTTCTAGCCTGAAGATGGGGACAGCATGCTCTTCTGTAATGATGTTACACAGTTAACAAATTACAGAATTTATAGTCAAGGAAGCGTTGGCATTAATCCATCTTGCTGATAAAACTAACATTTTCGTGAAATTATGGCTTTATTGTTCAATGTTCTTTACATAAAGATGTGTTTTTTATGACTAATGCAGACTCATTTTGTCTCCTCTGCTTCTTTCAGCTTCTTGTATTCCTTACCTCTCCGTATGGCCTCCTTGAAAAGTTTACAGTACAATTCCACACTGCATGGTGTGTCATCATTTCCTGGCACTGGGTATGTCACTAGGTTTGGGTTACAGTTTGTATCAACGATGCCAACAGTGGGGATGCACATTTTGGCTGAGTCTCTCACTGCAACATGCTGTGTGAGGATGGTGTTCAGTGTGTTCAAGAATATACACAGATCCGGTAACCGTGTAACAGCACCAAACTGCATGTCTGCATTAGTAAATACGCCCCCACGCCAGTACCTGGTGTGAGCAAACTCCTGACATTCACGTGCTGTGCGTTCAACAAGATGGGCATTCTGAGCACCACGAGCTATGAAGAGAATAATGCCATCCCTGGCAGCTATGTGTGCTGTGAAGTTGAGTGCCTGGCGCAAATGGTATGCTGTGATGTCGAGGTCAAAAATTAAGTGGCCAAGGCGGGACCCAAAAATGAATGGTTTCATTCGTTCATCCAAAGATCCTTCACGATGGCCAAAATGCACTCGAGCATCAAACAGATCACGGACTGTGAACAACTGATGAACCTTAAAGAAGTCTGGGTGTTTCAAGGGATCTAGCTGTGGAGTCACTGCACCTGAAAATATGTATATTAAATGTGTTATGTTATTAATATATATTGATGTATGAAGGCAACTCAAAAAGTGTTTGCCCCTATTTTTTTTTCAGCCACAATAATACACATACAGGGAAATCAAAATACAGGCAGTGTTCTAAGTACATTCGACTATTTTCCCACATAGTCACCACCACGGTTCAGCCATTTGTCCCGTTGCACTACTAGTTTGGAGATGCCGCTGTTGTAGAATTCGGCCGGTTGAGCGCGGAACCACCGCCAGACGGGTTTTCGCGTTTTCGTCGGAAATGAAACTCTGGCCTGCCATGAACTTCTTCAGTGGATCTTCCTGGATCTCACTGTCATTGGAGATGAAACTTGGGTATTGCATTTCAGTCCAGAATCCAAGCAGCAGAGCACAGTGTGGAAACATCCTGGTTCGATGTCACGGAGAAATTCCGCAGAACGCCATCCATCGGGAAGTTGATGGTCACGGTCTTCTGGGATCGCCGAGGACCACTTCTGCCGGATTTCATGCCACGAGGTGCCACCATCAACGCGAACAGCTGTTGGGGCACACTCGCGTGTATGCGAGCTGCTATCAGGAAAAAGCGCCCGGGGATTCTCGTGGACAATGTGATTCTCCTCCATGACAACTCCAGGCCTCGTGTGGCAAACAGGACCGCCGCCCGACTGCAGTCATTCAGATGGGAGATTATGGAGCATGCACTGTATAGTCCAGACCTCGCCCCCAGTGATTACCACGTGTTCGGTCACTGAAGAAGTTCCTGGCACGCCTGGTTCATTTCCGACAACGACGCGAAAACCGCTGTCCGGCGTTGGTTCCGCGCTCAACCGGCCGAATTCTACAACAGCGGCATCTCCAAACTAGCGATGCGATGGGACAAATGCCTGAACCAGGGTGGTGATTATGTGGAAAAACAGTCAAAGGTACTTAGAACACTGCCTGTATTTTGATTTTTCTGTATGTGTTTTACTGTGGCTGAAAAGAATAGGCGCAAAGACTTTTCGATTTGCCCTCGTATATTGAAGGTCTGCATGTCCATATACTTCCCACCAATTTCGGCAAGGGTACTATTAGGGCGGGGGCACACCAAGGAAACTCGCAACCGCAATTTCAGAGAACTGGTATCGTTGCCGTTTCCTCAATTTGCGCTGCTCCATTCAGTAAGGGCCATGACACACGGAGCGGTTTTCGCCGACTCGGCGCGTAGTTCTATTGCATCATATTCTCGGAAGTTGCGGTTGCCAGTTTCCTTGATGTACCCTCGCCCTCAGTCTCCTTTCGAGTTGCGTTGCCGTTTCCTCAATTTGCGTTGCTCCATTCACCAACACGTGTTCAACTCAGGCCGATAACGATTCTCGGAAATCGCGGCAAAGATTACCTCTGTAACACACCCCAAACAAATGCACTCTAACACCGTTAATTAATGCTTACTGGTGCTCTCTTACAGAACGTTCCCTTTTTGCGCGCGGATGTGTACTTGATGTGTGTGATTTGGTGGTGTGACTTTTTTTGTACAATTCAATCCGAAAGCGCGATGGTTGTATATTATTAAATCTATAATTACCGTAAGTCGTATCTCGTGTTTAGTTTTTTTTTAATATATTTATGCAAATTCTGAATCGGTGTTGCATATAATTTTCTGCGTGTCAGGAGAACCACCTTCTTGAGATAAACTTTGCAGTTTGGTATTACAGTAAATTTTTATAATGTGAAACAAGAGGGGGCATTGTCGTAAAATACGGTCCACTTTTTATATTTTCTTATAATAGCGGTGTGACTGTAGACTAACACGTCAAATCAAGCATCATCATACTATAGAAAAGTTTCAAACATGCACATTCCCTAGCAGGCATTCCCCGGTTTGAAAACCGGAAGAATTTAGGTCCCATTTCGTGTATAAAAGTCGTATTTCTGTTTCCCTATTGCCATTTGTGGTCGGTTTAACTGGCTTAAATTCCACTTTTCATCTTCCAGACCGTGTACCCGGAATTTTGCCTATAATGCTTACCCCTCCGACCAAACCTAACAAAGCACTGTGTCTATGGTAACATTAGGTTACGTTCAGCTAACATATTGATAAATTTCACAATTTAAAATGATATGGCCGTTACATATAAAATCTACTCATTAAATCACTTCAGCTAATTAAAATGCCGTTAAATGAAATATATAGCGGAGTTTGTATGTGTACATATTGGTCAGATGCAGTTACTATTCAGCATGGTCTGAAATAAAGGGTTTCTTCAACATCACTATGTTTAACAATAAATACACCAATAGGACCATCCAAGAAACCAGGGTGGGTAGAAACTGACTGGCACATCGGCTTCTGGTCCATGCTTACATGAACTAGGCAAAAATATTATTGGTGAAAGTCAAAACCCAGTGAACTGTTTTTGATGCCAGTAGAGTAGTTCTACAATGAACACAATGCAAATTATGTACATACTCCTGTTTCATTGCCAAAATGTGAAACAACATAAAAAGAGCTAACAGATCCCTTGAAAAATGCGATAAAGTTGAAATATCATCAAGCAGGCAAGCATGGTGCCCTGCAGGGGGACACTAACTGTATGCATCCTCTTACCAAGCCTGAACAAATTTTTTTGCTGATTAGAAGCCATCCCAAAAAAAGGGGAACCGAACTGGAAATTTAAAAAATAATTCAAAATATGCAACAGTACTTTTGGTACAGTGTTACATCATACTGTGAGAATTAACAGATATATTAATTTTCCATCATACAACATACATGTATATTCTCTTCCAAGTTCTTACACACTCTGAAGAGAATATATGTTGTCCAATGGAAATATTTTAATAGAAAATGTACAGCATGAAAAATATGTCTTTGAACAGTTACATCTGTTTAATGTCCAGTACCATTTACCACTGTGAACTATAATGACCATGTCGTGGGTTGGAAAACTATGGACTGGGGGTTCAGTTTCCAGGAAGGACAGATATATTTTCTCCATTACACTGTATTCAGACTGGCTCTGAGGTCCACCCAGTCTACTATCCAATGGATGGTTCTTTCCTCTGGGGTAAAGTGGCTGAGGCGTGAAGCTGACCACGCCATCCAGTGCTGAGACTAAGAGTGCATGGAGCTATACTTACATACCCCCATATTTATTTATGGTATGATGTGTAATTAGGTGCAGGGAAAACACCTTTCACTGGCAAAAGCTACAGTTTGCATGAACGAACTAAAACTGTTCATACATAAATAGTAAAACTTGGCAAAAATATGCTGAAAAATATAGGCCGCACCAAAAGCATTTTCATGCAGTAGTAATACATTAGACTTATATTTGGGACTTCACTGGCTGAAATCTTGACCAAGACAGTTTATTTGTGGTTTTCCTCAGACATTTTAGGGCTACATACAGTAGCTACCAAGAGAGTTGTTAAATCCCCCCCTCAAAAAATACGCATCACAGTGACAATTTTGGATGCCATAGCTACCTGGAACTTGGGATCTGTTGAGATACGGCTTATATGGTAACTTGTTACATAAAACAGGAGCTGTAGGCCCACTTTCATCCTCAACTTCGCAATAGTGAATCCACATGAAAAAAGTTGTTTTTGTGAGTCACATATGGTGTGGTCACTCGTTATATGAAACAGGAACTCTGGGACCAGTTTCATCCACATCTTTGCAACAGTGAATCCTCCATGCAAAAAAGTTGTGTGTTCTTGTGTAAAATAATCAGTAGCTCTTATTTTAAAATGAGCAGTTTTTATATGTGTTGTGTGAATTCTTGTTTATGTGTGGCATTGTTTAATTCAATAAGAAGCAGACACCACTATTAAGCAGTGTTCATCACACATCACTGGTAAGTGCACAAAGCTCATTAATTTCCAAGGTGAAATTTGCTTCAGAAATGGTGTAACAGGCAGGAGAACTGCAATTTTATGATTTGATTTTTTGCTGAAAACTGACAGATACTGTGCCACTGTAAAATTTCACATAAGTGCATAAAGGATGCATGAAAGTTCCACAAATGACATAAAAAATAAAATAATGTCTATGCTATTATTTCTACCCTCAGGATTGAAGCAGTAGGTTCATCCAAAATATTGGTACATATCAACCAATATACATACCACAGTCTTAATATTATTTGTTGGATTTGGAATTCCCATAGTGATGACTGTGAAGACTGATATCTTTTGGGATGTGATGCCATGTAGTCTGGTACAAGTTCACTGACATTTCAGAGGAAAGAAGTGCCTCCATCTTCGTAACTGAAAGAGTAAGCTAAAAAAGCAACCAAGGAACAGTTGGCAGGCAGATTCCTCTGTTTGCTGCCTGCTTTTTGCTGGTTACTTTCATGGCTTATGCTTTGATCCTTAGGATATAGGCAGATTGTTCTTGTGAAACATACTTATACCAGACTACATATGTCACATCCCAGAAGATAGTAATCCTCTTAATATCATTTCAATGTTATGATTTTAATTTCGTGTTTTCATTATAAACCTTAATTTAATTATCCTGTAATATACAACAGAGGCTGTGGCACATATTTACAGTACATTCATCGATTAATTACATCTTTTTTGCTTGCAAAATGTTTTGACATATACCATTCACCAAGATGCTTCCATATTTGTACTAAGAGTTAAAGTAATCATTGTGTATGTATATTTCCCTGAGAAGTCCAATATCCGTGACAAATTAAGTTAGGTTATGATATGCTAGATCTAGTAAACGTAGAGGTAATAAGAAACAGCAACTCTGACATGAACATGCAGGTGTACGCTAAAGAGATTACAAAATCACCATATTTAAGAACAGTTTCCAGGTTGTTTGCTTTTCAGGTATTCTGTTATACAGTACATGGTGACCATATATAAAAGAAATTTCCAGGTTTGTTTTTCAAACATTCTCTGTTAAATATCCAACTTCAATGGCAACTTCAAAACCCCATATAAAAGTAGACACGCAATCTTCGCATCTGATAATACACTGTGATATTAAACAGAAGCGTCTGATTTATATAAATTCCAATCTACATACCTTTGTCAGGCGGCAAAATTGTGTTTTCTACGTCATCATTTGGTTGAACTTGTGTTGAATATCCTAAAATCTTGGATATGGCATAAGAAGGTCGGAGTAGCATCGACTGAACCTTCACAGCTAAAACAGTGAACTGCATTAGCATAGTATAGACCTAACATTTGTCGTTAACTTGGGAAAGATATGAGTTAGCGGCATTTCGTCCCTAGTTACATGCAAAATAATTCTTACCAGAAACAATAAACGCCATCTTGGCGTTGCCCAGTAGTGCCAACGCCTATAGGATGAAATTTTGTTAGATTGAAGTTCTCGGCGCTGATTATGAAGAGCGCGTGCTTCAGGATTGTAACCACGGTTTGTAACGCCGTGTATTTCGCAGACAGCCCGACGTTTCGGAGGAAGTTATTGCGTTCATTGTTAGAGTCGAAGAGTAAGCCAAGCAGCGAGCTGAGCTCAGCTCCATATTTCCGTAGTGCACCCGCATGAGGCCCTCAAGTTCAACAACAGAAAAAAATCTAAAATATATATTTTGGAAGTCTAAATCGCGGGTTTGATATTAAAGTAGTGTTATATAATTTGTATATCATGAAATCTATGTATATATATGCTGGATATATTTCTTGCTTCAGTTTTCAGATAACTATTGTCACGTATCGGGATTTTCATGACGAGTAATATTGGGTTCTGGATTAGATGATTGGATTTATTGGCACTTCTTTACAATTACAATCAATTATGACAGTTCACAATCAATGACTGTCTACGACTCGCTCCCCTTCGGCGTGACTAACTTGGTTCTGATTTACGAGTCGGCCATTTCTTCCGCTGCCGTTGTCCGCTAGTTAGCACTCCACAGCTGAATACTCAACTACTGAACTGCCTTCTGAAGTCACTTAGGAACGAGTTTCTCGAATTCACGAATGAACTCTCTTTTATAACTTCGGGAAGACCGAATAGCGGCCACCACCTCGAAAATTTAGTTATCATTATCCCATTGTCACGGGAATGTATTTGGTAATATTTGTTGCAGCGGGAACGCGTGCTAGCGAGCCGTTGCCTACTAAATGGACTTTCGCTTCTGTTGCTATTCTGGTTTTCATGTGGTGTTTACCGAGGCATTGCCTTGCAAATGGTCATATTCGTCACACTATGGTACATACTACAGTTACTTCTTGTCACCATTGATGATAAAAAAAACTGTATTAAGGAGAACTGCATATTTCTTAAATCTTATTGTAATCTGATGTTGCACAACAGAATGAGCCCATTTTAAACAAATTTTAAAATGTTCCAAGAACTGGACTGCAGCACTTACTGACCGGTAGATTTTAATATTGCCAGTTCTGGTGTTGATATCGCTTTTACAATAGATATCCGTGCGCACAAGTATGTTGGTATCACTTTACAGGCCGACAAATTTTTGTTTGTTGTAATCGTCGTAGGATGGCAGGGAAGTACAATTAAACGCTAGTGCCATCTTTTGTATGATCGTCATCTCAGTGTTGACAACGTACGGCTAGCACTACGGAGAAGGCACGTGTTGCACTTTCATCCTGTTAACTTCTGAAAGCTTCATTAAAACTGCTCGTTGCATTCAACGCATATAAATTAAAACTGAGAGGAGGAAAGATAATCAACTAGTGTAACTTAANAGCTTCATTAAAACTGCTCGTTGCATTCAACGCATATAAATTAAAAATGACATGGATATTTCATTTTCATTTATGAACCCAGTAACGTGATAAACCGCAGAATCGGAAAATCTTGTAACGTAAATTGAAATAACAGGGCTGGAAAGGGTGTATTCCTTAATGTACCACAGAGAGATACTAACGGTATGCGTTGAGGTTTGTTGCGCCTACTTAGAAATGTGAATAATGGAATGTAAATACGTGAAATTCTCCCATATGAGATTTCATCAAAATTCGTGGAGGGGTTTATTTTAGACATGGAAATTAAATTTATGGTCGTATGCAAACCAGGCTTTACTACGGATCCATATGGCATAAAATAGGTATGGCCCAGTAAATTTTAGTAAATGTCTGCCGTGTCGGCTTTTAAGGTCTGTCCATCGGCTTAGACACTGATACTTTTTTCTGTTGCTAGTGGGGTTGGACTAATCCCTTGTACTGCGGCCACTTCTGGCCTATTGTACCAGCCCCAAATGATAGGTGAGGGTGATTGTGGAGCAATTGGTGGAATGAAGATTGGCAGGGGAAACCGAAGTAATCGGAGAAAACCTGCCCCAGCGCCACTTTGTCCACCACAAATCCCACTTGTCCAGACCCGGGATCGAACCCGGGCCGCCGCGGTGGGAAGCCAGCGACTAACTGCTTGAGCTATGGCGCGGCCAAGGCACTGATACTTGGTCAAAGTCATTGAGGATCACACGCATAATAGTGAGCAGAGCTGTGGTCGGTCCCGGGTGGTGATTTCTGGGGCGCCGGAACTTTACCCAGGCACTTGTTTTAAAGACGTAACAAGAAACAAAATTATTGTTGTCTCGAAGAGTGCCGTCTTGTGGATGGTAACGCATTGTAGTTGGTAGAAAGCCCGACGTTTCAGAGGAACATAAATACCTTCGTCCTTAGGGTAGAAGAGCAAGGCAGTCAAGAAACCAGGCCGTATCTTCCTAGTCTCTTAACGGCTTACTTTTCGATCCGGAAGATGGAGGCGATATGTTCCTCAGAAACGTCCAGTCTTTTCCGACCCAGTCCAGAAAACGGCAATCTTTATAGTCACCGTTATGAGAACCTCAAATCCTTCTAATAGCTTCTTTCATTTCCGCCCTCGAAAGTATAAGGATCGTCCCCTTTAAGCATGTGCGTTATATGAGCTATTTTGTCGTTCGGGTCTTTATTTAAGAGCGTTGAGCTGCCGTAAGCTAATGAGAACGGCGTCGTATTTTGATTTGTACCCATTTCTTTTAACCTGGAACTGCGTGCAGGACTGCTCAGGCGCTTTTGTTTTTAGGGCTACATCCCTGATGAGGATCTACCTCGTGTTCAGTGTTTTTTACACAAACAAAACCATGGTTATGCAAGGGAGGACCAGAACTATCGAACGTACAAGGTAATTAAGTAATGATATTTACAAAATATCTCCACTTTGTACCTGAACTAGTTCAGTACAATTCAATTCTTCCTCCAGCTTCGTCTACCCTGAAAATGGAGTCAGCAGGTTTCTGCGAAATGTTGGCACCTGTCTACCAGGTTACATTGCGTGACATCCCTTAATGCGGTAATGACCGCCACGAAAATCTCAAATCCTTTAGATACGTTTGATTTAGCTTCCCATCTATTTGCTGGTCTTGCAAGTGAGCTCTTTCCAAAATAATGACCAACACTTTTCAGTACCGAGGAATCGGTGTAGTGACTAGGATCCTGGCTGGGAGACTGGATATTTGGGTTCGATTCCCGGCAGAAGCAGAGGTTCTTCTCTTCTACACAGCACCCAGACAGACTGGCTCTGGAACCCATCCAGCCTCTCTGATGGGTACCTTGGTCTCTTTCCCCGGTGTTGAACCAGCCGGATTGTGAAGCTGACTACTCACGTCCATCTGTTATAGTATCGAAGTTAAGAATGCACAAAGCTATACCTCCACTCCGTCATACATTTTCTTAAAGTTTGAAAATTCCTTACCACGGTAACTTGCCTAGAAATGTACAAGCACTCGCTCTGAGAACGTACTAGTTCTCAGAGTTTTCTCTCATGAAGGCGAGGAACCTGCTTCCTCGCCTTTATGATAGAAAATGTGAGCAGCAGCTTCTTCCGAAACGTCGATGCCCATCTATCAGTTTAAGCGTAACCATATGCCAGAGGACTACACTATCTTGGTAACACCGCCAGAACCTCAAATCATATTACACGAGTAGTACCTGCCGTACTTCTGCTGCTGCTGCTGCTACTCCTATATTAAGAGGGAGAGTCAGTAAACAGATCAAATGGATATGAAACGTAAAGCATGTGATATTCGAACCAGAAAAAAAAATCTCGAAATATCCTCCACCAGCACTGACACGCTTGTCCCATCGCTTTACCAGTGCGTCGAAAACCGCAGCACTGGAGTCTTTTTTGATTGCTGACCCAGTCACTTCCGCACCTCCGTTTCAACCTCTTCGCCGTTGAGAGAATTTCTCGATCCAGTTGTGAACTGCTTTAGGCGACAAACACTTCCTACCGTGAACATGAAACATTTCTTTATGAATATCCTTTGCATTGAGTCCTTTTACTCATAAAAATACACACAACACAACACTGCTCTTCGGCAGTACACCCCTTAAGCACGGTCACAATTTTGACTACTGAAACCAGCCTCCGAATATGCGCATGCGCACGCGCGTCTATTACTTAGACTGAAATGAAGTTGGACTGTGCTGCTACCTAGCGACACAGCTAGAAAACCTATTGCGTCCATTACAGCTGTTTTACTTCCATTTGCGAACCGTTTAGTGACTCTCCCTCGTATTACTACTACTGTTGTATGTATAAGTGTTGAGGCGAATCGCCGATTTTCGTTAAACTTATTGCAAAATCACCGTGAAAATAGATGAAGAGGAAAATAATAGACGCAACGCCGCTTAGACAATCTCATCTTGGCATTTTATGCTTTCCTGTCGCTGCTGAGAACGGTAAACTACCGGGGGCCGACGTAATTGTTAAAAAAGAAAAACATTTTTTTTGCTGCTCCCCAGACTTCTTGTTCAGACATTCTGCACCAAATCAGATGTATTGGAGATGACTTTCGGGGAGTATTAATTCAGAATTTTACGTTCTCACAGCGGTAGGATATAACGCCGTGTTGTCCGTTGAAAATCAACCGACGTTTCGGGCTTTCATGCTGGTATCTTGTTGTTTATTCGACTCTGAAGATAGAGACGATGTTCCTCCGAAACGTCGGTAGACATTCAGCACACAACAAGGCGTTATATCCCAGAAGATAGGACACTATTAACTTAGAATTTGTTCGGATTTTACATATTTTCCGGCACTTATTCAAATCATCCCTTGTTGTGCGAGAGGGTTGGAGGGGTTTGACTCATCATCCCACCCCTGTGAACGATACTGATCCACGTGACAAGCCGTGCACGTGGCCCACCAGATGGCAGGCATGACGTAACAATACCGCCAGCAACAATCGGGCTGAATCATTGACACATACACGTCATCGGCTTGTCTTTTGTTTTCTCCATCAATAGATGACTAACAGCACACGAACCCTAC